GGGAAACTCAGACAGAGTGACTGAGCAAGTTGCTGAGAAGACACTCTGACCTATAGTCCTGTCAGCTCCTCTATCCAGAGTTGGGTGTGGTGCTGTGCCTTCTCTTGTGGCCCAAGAGAGGGAATTATTAGGGACCGTCGTTGAGCTGCTTCGGGTTGGAAATGTATATTTATGGCCTAACCTTTCTGTGGTGATGGAAATAATTCTGGCTGTGAGTTAGAGGAGACTGGCTGTGCCACTAACTAGCTGGGGAATCAAGGGGAAAAGGACAGCTTCTCAGGTGAAAATGATTTGTCTAGATGATCTCCAAGTTGTCTTTCAGTCTGGATACTAAGACTGGACTGCACATGAGCATTTCCAGGGCTGGAGAGCTCAGCACATCACTAGGAAGGCTGAGTCCACCCCAGTGCCACAGCTGGACGCAGAAGAGCCCTTGCCTCTGATGACCAAAATCTGCCTGCCCATAGTGAATTCTTCCCTCCTCTGGGCCTTGTTCTTCCTTCTGAAAGACAGTGAATCTGTTCTCCCCTGTACCGCCACTCAGCCCCAAATGGATGAGCTCCTTTGGAGGGTGTGCGGGTGGGGGCCTGGGAGGTGACACCTCTTCCCAATGTAGCCATCATTTTGGCTACATTGTCTTTTTGTCCTGGGCTGTCCCCTGATATTCTACTCTCGATTTCCCTATTGAATGAGATTTAGACAGGAGCTGTGGTTTCTGGCTTCTTGTCTCCCATCCTTTTTTGTTGTGATGAAGCCGATATCTTGCATCGGAGTTCCCTCTTTTCCTGTAGGTTTCACTCTAGCTCAGAGCTATTCCTCTGGAGGGAGAGCCAGGGGGGAGGCATTAGGAAAGGAGAGGTGGAAAGGGGTTGCTAGCATTCCCTCCTCCACACCCTTGCATGTCAACGAGGGTAGTAAAACTGCACCTCCCAGGCCTGTATCCCTGGCCTCAACCACAGCAACCAGAACCAGCTTGTTGGCTCTGCTTTCCAGCAAGCCCCGCCTCCCCTCTCCAGCAATCCCTGCCAACTCCCTCCACCACCCACAGCTCCCTGTCATCTGTAAGGCCAGCCTCCGTTACCAGGAACCTTTCATTTGCCTGTCCCTGTGCTGGATCTGGTGCTGGAAGAAGAGTGTGGAGAGATGGCAGTCACAAACTCCAGGGTTACCAGTAATGACAGGGGCACATGCTTCCTTCTTTATCTTCATGAAATAACCCGGTAGTTTAAGATGTGGATGATGTACAGTTTGGGCTCCACATGTAGAAGGAGATATAACCACAGCTGGAGTGGCTTCAGAGAAAAACAACCAAAATCCTTAACAAATAGAAAATGGACAAAAGAATTGAGACTGTTCACTCATTCATTCACACAAATATTGACTTAGCGTCTACTGGAGCCAGACCTTGTGTGGGGCCAGGTAGGTGTGATGACCAGGATGGGGTTTCTAGCATCTACAGCTTTATCTAGGAGGAGAGCTAAGGTGCCTACATGGTTGTAATATAAAAGTCATTAAGTTTTGCAAACATAGGACCTATATGTTTCTGTGACACCTCTTGAAATGGGGAACAGCTCTCCCAACTAATATTTCATGGAAATGGTGACATTTTGGGAGATTTTGAAGAGTTGGTAAGATTTTGGTGGATACAGAAAGGCTATTCCAGACAGAAGTAACGTCACAAAGACTGAGAGTCTGGGAAAGTTTGTATTTGAGAATACTGAACAGCTGAGTTTGGTGAAGCAGAGTATAAGGAGAATAGAGGATGATGTTATGCGTGGAAGACAGTAAAAACCTTGAAGAGTGGCGTTTATTCAGTAGCTAGCAGAAAGCAGTTGAACGTTTTACAATAGGGTAGCATTGTAGAATGGGACAAGTGGAGGGTAACAATACTTTTGGTATGGCATGGTGGTTCTGGAACAGGGTCCTGATGAGTCCCCTTGTTGAGGCCAACCATAACCCTTTAGCTGCTGGGTCATGAAGCTGTCCGGGGGTCCAGGTGGCAGTGGGACACTCAGAGGGCCTAGGGCAGTCACTGTACTAACACACGCGTAAGGATTTCAGTGTTTTAATAAGTGACGTGGCTATCCTGAGATATGTACTGGCTGAAAAACAGCCCTGGGAACAAACTGTTATTGGAAGTTAACGATTCTCAGATCAGGCAGGTTTTAACAAGTTAGATACCCATTTTTTCAGATTGGATCAGCTAAGATTCTATCTGAAGACAGAGTTCTGGACTAAAACCGTTTCTAGAGGCCAGGGGCAGTGGGTCACACCTGTAATTCCAGCACTGTGGGAGGCTGAGGAGGGCGGATCATTTGAGGTCAGGAATTTAAAACCAGCCTGGTCAACATGGCAAAACCCCATCTCTACTAAAAAAAACAAAACAAAAAACCAGCTACTAGGGATGCTGAGGCCGGAGAATCGCTTGAACTCGGGAGGCAGAGGTTGCAGTGAGCCAAGCCAAGATTGCACCACTGCATCTGGGTGACAGAGCAAGACTCCACCTTAAAAAAAAAAAAAAAAAAAAGATGGGTTCTAGAGATGAAACATCTCAGAGCCAGTAGATGACTTTTGGGCACAAATCCAGGACAGAAGGAAGGCATACGCTGGCCTCTTTTAGATCTCCCAAAGCTGGGTCTGGCATGTCCCCATTTAAGTGCCAGGATTATGTGCTGGATCCCAAAGTATTCTGAGGCTCAGAAAGCCATTGACTTTCACTGCCTTCCTCTATCTGTACCACGTCTCCCTGGTTGGCCTTAGTGACTTCTGGCTGACTTGAGTGGGCTGAGGGAGGCGCATCCACAGTGTGAAGCAGTCACTGCAGCCCGGACCACCACAGCCATTCTGATTTGGAAAGGATACAAACCCTCCAGTAACAGAGGTAACACAGGGCAGAGCAGTAATCTGAGATGCAGGCAGGGAAAGAGGGAGAAGCGAATGAGACAGATGTGTGGGCAGAGGAGGGATAGTGTGAGTTGAACCCCAGCACAGCAGCAAGCACAACTGCCTCGTGTGCTCCCACGGGCAGGGACTGTTTCATGCAGCTCTGGCTGGGCTGCCTCTATGTCCCAGGGAACCTCTAGCTTCCTTTCACGTGTCCTGTTTACCTCTCTTTATGCTGACATTCAGGTCACCAGGCTACTGTGTGTGCCTTCAAATCAACATTCAATTCTGGGCACATACTAGGTGCTCAGATAAGTACCTTCTGGATATGAATGTGTCAGCTCTGAATTTCCAAGCACCTGATATTTTCCACATGCAGATACTGTGTTTATCAGGGACTGACCTAAGAATAAAACCTAGAAGTTCTTGTTCCTTGTACCATAATACACATACACAACAATAGCCTGTGAATACAAATGCAAAAGATAAATGATAAGACTTTTATTTAATCGTGTGCTTTCTTTGGTCATTGCCTATACAAGGAATGCAGTTTTTGACAATAGGCGACCTTACCCATATTTAGACCTTTCCGTGGTCTCTCAGTCCCTGTGCTGATGTGGCCAGCAGAACCTCAGCAACACATCTGCCATCTTTACCCTGCCTACTACCCAGGAACCCTCAATCTCAGCTGAGATTCCCCTGCTTGGTGGTTCTGGGGCTGCCTGCCACTCCCTGTCCTGGGAGTTGTTCAGACACTGTGCATGGTTATAACTGCTTTGTAGCACAAGGTTTCTGAAAGCACTTCTGGGCTGGTTTCAGGAGAGGTTGGTAAGTACATGGCAGTAATTTTCCAGGCCCTGGAGCCTGGTCTAGCCCTCTAGTACTGAGCTGTATGGAGCAGAGCGGAGCAGCGGACATAGCAGAGTTTGCTTTGGAAGGAGTCCTAGAGGCTGTTCTTGGAGTTGGCCACTCACTGTCTAGTTCTCCTCTACAGTGTTCCACCAGTCTCAAAACTAAGCTTTTATTTTCCATAAGCGCCTTTCTTTATATGTAAAGATTATGTGGTCTCAACTAGGCAATTTTCAATCCTTTGACCTTGTGATTCATATAATTAATAGATTTATATATTAGCCAATATACAAAAATGCAAGTGGAAGAGGTAAGAATAGTTGTATGGTGGCTCTAAAGGGCACTGGGCTGCATGTGTTACATATTCTTAACAAAGCGTGACAGATCTTTCAATTTTTACAGACTCATGTTAACAAGTGGTACTTTGAATGTTAGAAATATCCATTGGATAAGCAAAAATGAATATTCTTTGTATTCTTGTGATACTTTAGTGTATGATTTTATTCATTTATTTATTTATTTATTTTTTGGAGATAGAGTCTCACTCTGTCACCAGGCTAGAGTGCAATGGCATGATCTCAGCTCACAGCAACCTCTCCACCTCCCAGGTTTACCCGAGTAACTGGGAGTATAGGTGCTAGAGATGCGGTTTCACCATGTTGTGCAGGATGGTCTTCAACTCTTGATCTGCCTGCCTTGGCTTCCCAAAGTGCTGGGAATACAGGTGTCCATGGTGCCTGGCCTAGTATATAATTTATTTTTATGTTCAGTATGTTCTTTATTTTGTAACTACAAAAGGCCTGATACTGACCAACTTTTTAAGAAGATAAACATGCAAATCGTTCCTGTGGTCCCTCTTTTTATTCAAGTATATGTACAGAAAGCTTGATGAGCAGTTTTCACAAACTGAAAATACCTGTGTTATGAGCACCATGATGAAGAAGCAGAATATTACCAGCATCCCAGTGCCCCCACAGGGGGCTATCAATCACTACCATCAGCATAGATTAATTTAGCATATTTTAATATTTTATATAAATGGAATAATAGATTGTGCTTTTTTATTAAACATTTTTAAAAATTAAATTATTTTTTGAGACTGGTCTTACTCTATCTCTCAAGCTGGAGTGCAATGATGTGATCTTAGCTTATTGTACCCTTGAATTCCTGGGCTCAATTATAGGAGTGAGCCACTGCGCTCACTCTCATTTTAAAATGATATTATTTATGGATTATAAAAATGATGCATCTGGGTGTGGCGGCTCATGCCTGTAATCCCAGCACTTTGGGAGGCTGAGGTGGGCAGATCACTTGAGGTCAGGAGTTTAAGACCAGCAACCTGGCCAACATGATAAAACCTCATCTCTACTAAAACTACAAAAATTAGCTGAGTATGATGGTGTGCACCTGTTGTCCCAGCTACTCAGGAGGCTGACACACAAGAATCACTTGAACCTGGGAGGCTAAGGTTGCAGTGAGCCAAGATTCCACCACTGCACTCCAGCCTGGGTGACAGAAGGAGACTCTGTCTCAAAAAAATAAATAAATAAAATAAATAAGGATAAAAATAATGCATGCTTGGGCCAGGCGCGGTGGCTCACGCCTATAATCTCAGCACATTGGGAGGCTGAGGCAGGCGGAACTCGAGGTCAGGAGATCGAGACCATCCTGGCCAACATGGTGAAACCTCATCTCTACTAAAATACAAAAAATTAGCTGGGCGTGGTGCTTGCCTGTAGTCCCAGCTCTTCAGGAGGCTGAGGCAGGGGAATCACTTGAACCCGGGAGAGGCGGTTGCACTGAGCCAAGATCACGCCACTGCACTCCAGCTTGGCGACAGAGCAAGACTCGATCTCAAAAAAAAAAATGTGTGCTTATTATACTAGATAACAGCTGTGTATCTGGACCACATTAACTCCAGTGAAAGTACTTTTTTGCCTTTAGGCACCCCAGCATCACTAATAAAATAACCTAAGTCCAAGGAAGACCAGGGGCCTAAAAGCTATAGGATACACAGCCTCTGAAATTCCCCAGTAGCTCTCTGCCAGGGAGGAATTGAGAACTGCTGCTCATCCATATGTGAGAACTCTCTAAACATGTTTCTTCTGGTCTTGATCTTGGAAATAGCTGTGCTTTTCTTGAGCTGTTTGTTTTAATTTTTATTGGTCATATAAGTTGCATAATCACTCTGATTTCTCTCTTTGTGTTGGTTACTGATTCAGTTTTTTCCTCACCTGGTGAAAAGTGTAAAGGATTTTATGATCTGTATTTTTCTACTAATTTTATGCCTGTGCCTTTATCTCCCCAGCCCCACAACCAACTATTTCCAGTTTATGTCATCTTATATTCTAAGCTACTTTAATTTTTATAAGTTACTTTATTTTTTCCTGGACCAAATCAAGGCATATAATAAATCAACAAGATCACTATGTTATGCATACAAGCATGAAGAAGAAGTGAGCCCCTAAAATGCCACCACTCTGACCTAGACATTGTTGCAAAAATAAAGTACAATAAGCAGTGATAACAAGAGGTTGGATTCCAGGATGCCATAGACAAAAAGTCTGGATTTAAAAACTTAAAAAGCCAAAATAGTATCGTCCTGACCTTTTTGGAGGTCTTTATTTAGGTACTAAAAAGTTGAATCACATCCACAAATTATTACCTCTTTCCATAGCAGAAGACTATCAAAAGCTTGGAATTTACGGGGCCTGTGCCACTTTTGTTGAAAATCATGACCCCATACAAGGCAAATTCAATAAAATTTGGGGCATCCCTGACACTACCAAGAGAACAATTGAGAGACTGACCAGGAAGGCCAGAAACCTGGTTTGCTGTGTGGGCACCGTCCCTGCAAAGGTCTGGGAGGAAGCTCCTCACACCAGCAAGGAAACCTCAATGTGAAGATCTGTAGCCACTGCCAGCCTGTTGCTTTTGGATGCATAAAGTCACAAACTAATTTAGAGAACCAGCCCCTAGCCCCTCTACTAGCAGCTGAGAATCCCTGCTTAGGGAATACATTTTATCCATCTCTTCCACCCATTTCTTCTTTGAAATTGTGTTCTTGTGGTGCCTAGCAGAGGCTATGCGTGTGTCCCACTCTGCACAGCTAAAATTCTGCTTTGTGGCCACACTACCCAGGAAGAGGGCCTACAAATGGGAAGAGAATAGAGAGAGGTGGGAGTGGAAATAAAGACACGTCGACCAAGGATTTTATTTATAAATGCTCAAGAAATTGATTGTTGTGTATTTTGCAGTTTCTATTTATTTTGCAAACCCTGAATGGCTACAGAAGCAATTCATTCTAAACTTAAAGCAAAATGTTTATGGAACATTTACTTTTTTGTGGCAGACTGAGTGGACTGAAAAGCATTGATAATTCCTGGAAAAAATTGTGGAGTTTGAAGACAGGCAAAGTTCAAGTTCAAGCTCTATTACTCACCAATTGTGGGACTTTGTAGAAGGCATTTATTCCTTTCTAAGTCTCAGGGGTCTTGTCTGGGTAGTGGGGCTATAATGCAGTTCCTTTAGAGCTTTTCTTGTGACTAAATGAGATTTAGTGAGCCTAGAACATATTAGGAGCTCAATGTATGTTGGTTCCCATCTCTTCCCTCTCAGTCTGATAGGAGTTAGAGAATGGCTGGGCAGGAGGAGCAAACAGACACATTCCTCAACTGGCCCATTTCAACTTCTCAGCCCATGACATAGTTGTGTCCAGTTCCCCAGTGGTCACTATGCCATTCGTGTCCAGCACCTGCCACCAAATACACATTCTTCAATCACTTTTTCCCTCCGTGATGTTCAGCAGTGCCTGTATCTTTCCATCCCTGGCAAAGATTTATATTAGGGGAGGGGGCCAGGCTAAGAGTCAAGGATTTTGCTGAGAATGAGAGCTATGTGGGGGGCTGTACCAAGGCACAGAAGCACAGCAATTGGGAAGTGATAGCCTCTTACTCTGCTGCATGCCCCTGAGTACATGCTGAGATTTCTGAGACTGGAAGACAGGAACACGTGGCAGTTATCTCATTTATGTAAAAAAATATTTTTTAGAGATGGGATCTCACTATGTTGCCCAGGCTGGTCCTGAACTCCTAGGCTCAAGCAATCCTCCCTCCTTAGCCTCCCAAAGTGCTGGGATTACAGGCATGAGCCACTATGTCCATCCAGTTTTCTCTTCCTAGCTTTGTAACTGATTTTCCTGGTTTCCTGATTGCAGGAAATCAGTTTATCTGAAACTAATTTTCTGTCCTTTTGAGGGCTTCAGTTCTGTAATCTTTGGAGTGAGATGCTTCTTTGCAGGAGTAGATTTGGAACTTGCCCATGTCACTAAGGGGTGAAGGGGACAGTCAGAAAGGAATATCTTTGACATTCTGGCACTGGTCTTTCCAAGGCTCAGTTGCCTGAACCAGGAGGTGGCAGCTCTCCCAGTAGTTCTGACTGCTTTGGCCTCCAAGGTCATCTCTGACAACATGGTCTCCGTACAAGCAGTTGCCTCAAAGATTAAAGGCCTCCCTGCTGAGATCTTCTTACAAATCCTCTGATCCACTCCTTTCCACCCTGCCTGCCAAGCCTGGGTTCAAACGAATGTGTGTGGTGTGTGCTCATGCACACCTCCCTTGCCAGCCAGCTGGTCCAAGCTGCTCACCAGCACCTCTCAGGCAAAGGTGGGCAGGAGGAATGAGGACGGGGAGGATTCCCTCATGGAGCAGGCACACAGCGCAATACGTACTCCATGTCCTGGGTCTCCTTTCTTTTCATTTCAGCTGAGCAGAGGGCCTGGGAAAGAGAGGTGGAGATGGGGAACACATGCCAGGTGAATGACTTCCAACAGCAGAAGGCAGGGGAGATTGCACAGGCACAGAAAACGGGTAGAGAAATTAGGGAGTGAAATGGAGGGAGAAAGCTTTATCCCATTTTTTTCATTTTAGTGACTGTATTTTTTTTTTTTAGATGTAATCTCCCTCTGTCACCCAGGCTGAAGTGCAATGATGTGATCTCAGCTTACTCTAACCTCCGCCCCCCCAGGTTCAAGTGATTCTACTGCCTCAGCCTCCTGAGTAGCTGGGATTACAGGTGTGTGCCACCACCCCCAGCTAATTTTTGTATTTTTAGTAGAGATGGGGTTTTGCCATGTTGGCCGGGCTGGTCTCGAACTCCTGATCTGCCTCGGCCTCCCAAAGTGCTGGGATTATAGGTGTGAGCCACCGTGCCTAGCCTAGTGACTGTATTTTTTAATAAGTTTTATTTAGTTCTATTTCAAATTTGTTGGGTCCCTTTAAAAATATTATCTTGTGGCTGGGCGAGGTGGCTCACACCTATAATCCCAGCACTTTGGGAGGCCAAGGCGAGCAGATCACTTGAGGTCAGGAGTTCGAGACCAGCCTGGCCAACATGGCAAAACCCTGTCTCTACTAAAAATACAAAAATTAGCTGGGCATGGTGGCGCACACCTGTAATCCCAGCTACTCTGGAGGCTGAGTCAGGAGAATCACTTGAACCCAGGAGGCAGAGGTTGCAGTGAGCTGAGATTGTGCCATCGCACTCCAGCCTTGGTGACAGAGTAAGACTCCGTCTCAAAAAAATAAATGATAAAAATAAAAATACTGCATCGTTCTTTAAAACAAATTCATTTAATTATCTAAAATTTAAAACAAATTTTATCTAAAATTGTTGGTTGTCCCAAACTAAGAGGCTGCTAATGTGTTAGCATCTGCTTGCTGCTTTGATTTCTACATCTTTGTATTCTGGCTACCGGAGATTTCTCTTACCTTATGGAGGGCTTTACTATGCAGGTTGATTATGCTGTTGGAAGTTTGCAGGATGGCTGGGACATAGTGAGGTTGCTCAGGTGTTACTGCAGTGACCCAGGGGGTGAGTGGTGAGTGCCTACCTTGAAGGGGTGACAGGTAAAAGCTGAGACATCTCAAGGCAGGAAGCGACAGACTTTGGTGGTAGGGTTGTTGTAGAAGGTGATAGAATACTAAAGTTATGGGTTTCACACGTGGTTCTCTGGCTGTATTCTGTCACCATCATTTAAATAAGGGTTGTCTTGTGCACCCAGCATCTCAGAAATGGTCTCCTGAGGAAAAAAATGCATTCATTTGTTCTTGTACTTTCCTCTCGGGCTTGGGTACCATGGTGGTCCTACAGAAAAGGGTGGGAGGGCAGACAGTCATTCATTCAGTAGGGGTTTACTGAGATCTTATATGCCAGGCTGTGCTCTAGGTCTTAGGGACATCACAGGGAACAAGAAGTTGAAAGAGTTTGCCATCACACAGCACACATTTCCGGTGAGGAAAAGACAGGATAATCGAGTAAACAAACAGATCTGGATTTGAGATGGTGACGCTGCCTGGGAAGAAACAGAAACAATAATCACACAAAGGGACTGGCTTGGAGTGACAATCCTAAAACAGATAACTCAGGCCTGGAGGACTGATACCAAAAGGGTGTCAGGATTACAAAGACCTCAGGAATTTGGAGAATGGGAGCTGGGTAGAAGAGGAAAAAAATGTAGAAAAGAGTCATCACTGGTTTTCAGGGCAAGCGTCTCCTTCCTACTCCCCTTGTCCTGAAAACAAGGTCCTCCTTCACCTCACTGGCAGGAATAGAGTCAGCCTCAGACTTGAGTTTGAAGAAGTACTGGCTAAAGACTGTCTGGGCTGGGCAGAAAATGATAGTGACTGTTTCTTCTTTATCACAAACCCAGATCCCAAAACCAGTATGAAGGGATGGGGGATGTCCTATTGAAAGCCAGCCTGAATTAACCCTGTCTCTTCCTCTTACAACATTTTTTCTACACCTCCATTAGTGCACTTATAAAAGTCAGGCTTGCATCAGAGTTCTTTTTGTCTGTGTTTGTCTTCCCCCATGAGATTGTAAATTTCTGGAGTACTGGACCTGGGCATTTTCCCCTCTTTGTCTCCATAGTGCAGAGATTTTTATTTATTTATTTATTTATATTTTTTTCCCTCAGCTGGAAGAGATTTTTAAACTTTTGTGGATCACATACACCTGTAAGAATTCGATGAAGAGGCCAGGCACGGTGGGTCACACCTGTAATCTAGCACTTTGGGAGACTGAGGCAGGAGGATGGCTTGAGCCCAGGAGTTCAAGACCAGCCTGGGCAACAAGTGAGACCCTGTCTCTACATAAAATTTAAAAATTAGCCCAGGGCAAGCATGGTGGTGCACACCTGTAATCCCAGCACTTTGGGAGGCCAAGATGAGTGGATCACTTGGGCAACATGGTGAAACCCTGTCTCTACAAAAAATACAAGAATTATCTGGAAGTGGTGGCACTACTATAGTCCCAGCTACTTGGGAGGCTCAGGATCACTTAAGCCTGGGAGGCAGAGGTTGCAGTAAGCCAAGATTGCACCACTGAACTCTAGCCTGGGTGACAGAAGGTGGCACAGGCCCCTGCCTGGGTGACAGAGGGTGACACAGGCCCCTGACCCATATCCATGGATCCCTAGTTAAGAACTCAGCCTGAAGCTTTACCCAGTGCCTGGTATCTGGTAAGCTCTTGGAATCTGATGACTTGGGAATGGTCTCCTGATTAAATCTCCTTACTCTAGTTGCAGGGGACAGATGTTAGGTGGGAGAAAGAGAGCCAGGAATGGGAGATGGAGAAGAGTGTTTAAATAATCCATCTGGAAGCAGCCATCCAGAGAGCAGTAGCTTCACCATCACTTCCTGTCCAAGGGAGAACCGGAGGTGGGGTCTCCTCCCCGGGCTTTGTCTTCCCTCGGGCTCTGCAGTACCTCCTCTTCGCCCTGTGCCTGCTGTTCTCCAGTCTTCTGACATCCCTCTGCTTGCCTTTCAAAGCTCTGCTCATCCTTTTCTCTCATCTCTTCCCTGAAACCTTCCTCAACTATTTCAGAACCAGCTGACCTCGTTCTTTTCGGAACTTCTGTTGCACCTAAGTTTTCTGAAACTTACAACTGAGTACTGACTTTCTTTCATTCCTACTTCATCTGGGTTGGTCTTGTGTATCCCATCTAGGTTGTTAGAGAAGCCAAAGATGGCTCCAGAGTATCTGGTTAGGACAGTTTGCTTCATTCGCCCCACAGCATTGTTGGAATGCGTGGAAGAGCCAGCCAGTTCACTTAGAATCGTTGGCACAGGCTTCACTGTGCCCATGTTTCCTCCATATGACATGGCCATCCTTCCTGCCTAAACTTCTGGCATTGCTGGTGTGCCCTCCAGGCCATCTGCTGCTGTCTCTGCTCCTCCATTTCTTCCTTCCTTTATCATGGCATAGTGGTGAGAAGCTTTGACGTCAGACTACCTGAGTTTGAACCCCGGCTCCAGTGGTTAGTAAGCTGTGGCACAGTGAGCATATTATTGAGCCTCAATATGGCCCAGTTCCTTCTCTGTAAAATGGAACTATTTTTTTTTTTTTTAATTTTTTATTGGATTATAGGTTTTGGGGTACATGAGCAGAGCATGCAAGACAGTTGCGTAGGTACACACATGGCAGTGTGCTTTGCTTTTCTTCTCCCCTTCACCCACATTTGGCATTTCTCCCCAGGCTATCCCTCCCCACCTCCCCCTCCCACTGGCCCTCCCCTTTTCCCCCCAATAGACCCCAGTGTTTACCATGTGTTCTCATTTTTCATCACCCACCTATGAGTGAGAATATGCGGTGTTTCATTTTCTGTTCTTGTGTCAGTTTGCTGAGGATGATGTTTTCCAGATTCATCCATGTCCCTACAAACGACACGAACTCATCATTTCTGATTGCTGCATAATATTCCATGGTGTATATGTGCCACATTTTTCCAATCCAGTCTATTATCAATGGGCATTTGGGTTGATTCCAGGTCTTTGCTATTGTAAACAGTGCTGCAATGAACATTCGTGTACATGTGTCCTTGTAGTAGAACGATTTATAGTCTTTTGGATATATACCCAGTAACGGGATTGCTGGGTCAAATGGAATTTCTATTTCTAAGGCCTTGAGGAATCGCCACACTGTCTTCCACAATGGTTGAACTAATTTACACTACCACCAACAGTGTAAAAGTGTTCCTTTTTCTCCACATCCTCTCCAGCATCTGTTGTCTCCAGATTTTTTAATGATCGCCATTCTAACATGAGATGGTATCTCAATGTGGTTTTGATTTGCATCTCTCTGATGACCAGTGACGATGAGCATTTTTTCATATGATTGTTGGCCTCATATATGTCTTCTTTCGTAAAGTATCTGTTCATATCCTTTGCCCACTTTTGAATGGGCTTGTTTGTGTTTTTCCTGTAAATCTGCTTGAGTTGTTTGTAAATTCTGGATATCAGCCCTTTGTCAGATGGGTAGACTGCGAAAATTTTTTCCCATTCTGTTGGTTGCCGATCCACTCTAGTGACTGTTTCTTTTGCCGTGCAGAAGCTGTGGAGTTTCATTAGGTCCCATTTGTCTATTTTGGCTTTTGTTGCCAATGCTCTTGGTGTTTTGTTCATGAAGTCCTTGCCTACTCCTATGTCCTGGATAGTTTTGCCTAGATTTCCTTCTAGGGTTTTTATGGTGCCAGGTCTTATGTTTAAGTCTTTAATCCATCTGGAGTTAATTTTAGTGTAAGGTTTTCTGCTTTCTGCACATGGCTAGCCAGTTTTCCCAACACCATTTGTTAAACATGGAATCCTTGCCCCATTGCTTGTTTTTGTCAGGTTTATCAAAGATTGTATAGTTGTATGTATGTTGTGTTGCCTCCGGTGCCTCTGTTTTGTTCCATTGGTCTATATCTCTGTTTTGGTACCAGTACCATGCTGTTTTGATTACTGTAGCCTTGTAGTATAGTTTGAAATCCGGTAGTGTGATGCCCCCCGCTGTGTTCTTTTTGCTTAGAATTGACTTGGCTATGCGGGCTCTCTTTTGGTTCCATATGAAGTTCATGGTGGTTTTTTCCAGTTCTGTGAAGAAAGTCAATGGTAGCTTGATGGGGATAGCGTTGATTCTGTAAATTACTTTGGGCAGTATAGCCATTTTCATGATATTAATTCTTCCTAACCATGAACATGGAATGTTTCTCCATCTGTTTGTGTCCTCTCTGATTTCGTTGAGCAGTGGTTTGTAGTTCTCCTTGAAGAGGTCCCTTACGTTCCTTGTGAGTTGTATTCCAAGGTATTTTATTCTTTTTGTAGCAATTGCGAATGGCAGTTCGCTCTTGATTTGGCTTTCTTTAAGTCTGTTATTGGTGTAGACGAATGCTTGTGATTTTTGCACATTGATTTTATATCCTGAGACTTTGCTGAAGTTGTTTATCAGTTTCAGGAGTTTTTGGGCTGAGGCGATGGGGTCTTCTAGGTATACTATCATGTCGTCTGCAAATAGAGACAATTTGGCTTCCACCTTTCCTATTTGAATACCCTTTATTTCTTTTTCTTGCCTGATTGCTCTGGCTAGAACTTCCAGTACTATGTTGAATAGGAGTGGTGAGAGAGGGCATCCTTGTCTAGTACCAGATTTCAAAGGGAATGCTTCCAGTTTTTGCCCATTCAGTATGATATTGGCTGTTGGTTTGTCATAAATAGCTTTTATTACTTTGAGATACGTTCCGTCGATACTTAGCATAAAGGGCTGTTGAATTTTGTCAAATGCCTTCTCTGCGTCAATTGAGATAATCATGTGGTTTTTGTTTTTGGTTCTGTTTATGTGGTGAATTACGTTGATAGACTTGCGTATGTTGAACCAGCCTTGCATCCCCGGGATGAATCCTACTTGATCATGATGAATAAGTTTTTTGATTTGCTGTTGCAATCGGCTTGCCAATATTTTATTGAAGATTTTTGCATCTATGTTCATCATGGATATTGGCCTGAAGTTTTCTTTTCTCGTTGGGTCTCTGCCGGGTTTTGGTATCAGGATGATGTTGGTCTCATAAAATGATTTGGGAAGGATTCCCTCTTTTTGGATTGTTTGAAATAGTTTTAGAAGGAATGGTACCAGCTCCTCCTTGTGTGTCTGGTAGAATTTGGCTGTGAACCCATCTGGACCTGGGCTTTTTTTGTGAGGTAGGCTCTTAATTGCTGCCTCAACTTCAGACCTTGTTATTGGTCTATGTTTCAGCTTCCTCCTGGTTTAGGCTTGGGAGGACACAGGAGTCCAGGAATTTATCCATTTCTTCCAGGTTTACTAGTTTATGTGCATAGAGTTGTTTGTAATATTCTCTGATGATGGTTTGAATTTCTGTGGAATCTGTGGTGATTTCCCCTTTATCATTTTTTATTGCATCTATTTGGTTGTTCTCTCTTTTATTTTTAATCAATCTGGCTAGTGGTCTGTCTATTTTGTTGATCTTTTCAAAAAACCAGCTCTTGGATTTATTGATTTTTTGAAGGGTTTTTCGTGTCTCAATCTCCTTCAGCTCAGCTCTGATCTTAGTAATTTCTTGTCTTCTGCTGGGTTTTGAGTTTTTTTGATCTTGCTCCTCTAGCTCTTTCAATTTTGACGATAGGGTGTCAATTTTGGATCTCTCCATTCTCCTCATATGGGCACTTACTGCTATATACTTTCCTCTAGAGACTGCTTTAAATGTGTCCCAGAGGTTCTGGCACGTCTTCATTCTCATTGGTTTCGAAGAACTTCTTTATTTCTGCCTTCATTTCGTTGTTTACCCAGTCAACATTCAAGAGCCAGTTGTTCAGTTTCCATGAAGCTGTGCGGTTCTGGGTCGGTTTCTGAATTCTGAGTTCTAACTTGATTGCACTATGGTCTGAGAGGCTGTTTGTTATGATTTCAGTTGTTTTGCATTTGTTGAGCAGTGCTTTACTTCCAATTATGTGGTCAATTTTAGAGTAGGTGTGATGTGGTGCTGAGAAGAATGTATATTCTCTGGATTTGGGGTGGAGAGTTCTGTAAATGTCCACCAGGTTTGCTTGCTCCAGGTCTGAGTTCAAGCCCTGGGTATCCTTGTTGATTTTCTGTCTGGTTGATCTGTCTAGTATTGACAGTGGAGTGTTAAAGTCTCCCACTATTATTGTGTGGGAGTCTAAGTCCTTCTGTAAGTCATTAAGAACTTGCCTTATGTTGTTTAGGATCGTTAGCTCTTCTTGTTGTATCGATCCTTTTACCATTATGTAATGGCCTTCTTTGTCTCTTTTGATCTTTGTTGCTTTAAAGTCTATTTTATCAGAGATGAGAATTGCAACTCCTGCTTTTTTTTTGCTTTCCATTAGCTTGGTAAATCTTCCTCCATCCCTTTATTTTGAGCCTTTGTGTATCCTTGCATGTGAGATGGGTTTCCTGGATACAGCACACTGATGGGTTTTGGATTTTTATCCAATTTGCCAGTCTGTGTCTTTTGATTGGTGCATTTAGTCCATTTACATTTAGGGTTAATATTGTTATGTGTGAATTTGATACTGCCATTTTGATTCTAAGTGGCTGTTTTGCCTGTTAGTTGTTGTAGATTCTTCATTATGTTGAAGCTCTTTAGCATTCAGTGTGATTTTGGAATGGCTGGTACTGATTGATCCTTTCTATGTGTAGTGCCTCTTTTAGGAGCTCTTGACAAAATCTCTGAGTACTTGCTTGTTCGCAAAGGATTTTATTCTTCCTTCACTTCTGAAGCTCAGTTTGGCTGGATATGAAATTCTGGGTTGAAAGTTCTTTTCTTTAAGAATGTTGAATATTGGCCCCCACTCTCTTCTGGCTTGTAGTGTTTCTGCCGAGAGATCTGTTGTGAGTCTGATGGGCTTCCCTTTGTGGGTGACCCGACCTTTCTCTCTGGCTGCCCTTAGTATTCTCTCCTTTATTTCAACCCTGTTGAATCTGACGATTATGTGCCTTGGGGTTGCTCTTCTTGCAGAATATCTTTGTGGTGTTCTCTGTATTTCCTGCAGTTGAGTGTTGGCTTGTCTTGCTAGGTGGGGGAAATTTTCCTGGATGATGTCCTGAAGAGTATTTTCCAGCTGGGATTCATTCTCTTCGTCCCCTTCTGGTACACCTATCAAACGTAGGTTAGGTCTTTTCACATAGTCCCACATTTCTTGGAGACTTTTTTGCGCTTTTTTCTCTGATCTTGGTTTCTCGTTTTATTTCATTGAGTTGGTCTTCGACTTCAGATATTCTTTCTTCTGCTTGGTCAATTCGGCTATTGAAACTTGCGTTTGCTTCGCGAAGTTCTCGTATTGTGTTTTTCAGCTCCTTTAATTCATTCATATTCCTCTCTAAGGTATCCATTCTTGTTATCATTTCCTCGAATCTTTTTTCAAATCTTTTTTCAAGGTTCTTAGTTTCTTTGCATTGATTTAATACATGATCTTTTAGCTCACAAAAGTTTCTCATTATCCATCTTCTGAAGTCTAATTCCGTCATTTCGTCACAGTCATTCTCCGTCCAGCTTTGTTCCCTAGCTGGTGAGGAGTTTTGGTCCTTTCTAGGAGGCGATGTGTTCTGGTTTCGGGTGTTTTCCTCCTTTTTGCGCTGGTTTCTTCCCATCTTTGTGGATTTGTCCGCTGGTCGTCTGCGTAGTTGCTGACTTTTCGTTTGGGTCTCGTTTGCGAATTCAACGCGGGCTCCAATCCTGGGTTGTTCTCACAGCGCCATCTTGAGTCCCTCTCCGGGTATACAAATATCTTTTTGAGATCCTGCTTTCAATTCTTGGGATATATACCCAGAAGTGGAGTTTCCGGATCATGTGGTAATTCTGTTTTTAATTTTTTGAGAAGCCTTCATACTGTTTTCCACAATGGCTGCCCCATTTTACATTCCCACCAATAGTGCACAAGAGTTCCAGTTTCTCCATATCCTCACCAGCATTTGCTATTTTCTGATTTTTAGTGGTAGCCATCCTAATGCCTAATGGGTGTGTAGATTTTATCTTTTTATTGTCATGTGAATTTCAAACTGTGCTTTTGACTATTTAAGAGAAGTGGTTTTTTTGGTAGCAGACCATTTGTTAGACTTGTATCCTTACAGTGAGCCTCAGGGATGGGACTCTTAGTCCCATCTTAGTGCCAGGTTGCTACTGGAAGGAGTGTCCATAGTCAGATATCATGGCAGTTCTGGCGATCATTGCAATTTAATATTAATTATCTCTAGAATGTTAGACCAAGTTTTGAACAATTTGTTCTTTCTGATTTGCAGTTGACTGAAACACTCATCTATTTAAATCGCCCTTCAACAGCTCAACGCTTTAGGAAATTTGCAAATATAGAGGGACAATGCTTTTCAAATGTGCATAAGTAACAAATATTTCTATGATTCATTAAATTATTTTTTGGAACGGAGTCTTTACTATGGTGAGGCATTTATTCTTTCACACAGTTGCTCCCTTTTATATAGGATACAGTAGATTCGGTCCTGTTTGAGTAAGAAAGATGACAGTAATTTTCCTTTTTTATACTATTAATGCTGAGTTAAGTGCGGTTTCTAATTTGGATTAAAAGTCATTATCTTGCCTTTTTCTTTTTCCCGGATTGAAAGAATTGATCAACTTTTTGCTGTTGGAGGTCTCCGACACCTCATGTTTTACTATCAAGATGTGGAGGAAACAGGTATCTGAATTTGATGTGACATAACCCAGAAATGTGTCATTAGATTTATCTGAGGGTAGCTTGAAGAAGAAAGCCACCGTGAGAACAGACCTGCTGCGCCTTGCTGGCAGGAGGGAGGTGTGTGTGGGGGTGGATGTGGGAAACCCTTAGTGTGTTGGGTGTGGCCCTGTGGAAGAAGTTGTGTGTCCTCAAGGATAGAGGACAGATCACAGTTGGTGTTTAGCCTGGTTGTTCTAACTTTGTTGGAGACGTTTTCTTTTCCTTCTCAGGCTGTGTTGGCAATAAAGATAATAAAGTAGATTATATTTGACTTCCTTTTCTTATATTCTAGTTCATTCTGTGTATTATGTTCTAGAAGTTATAAAGGGTACCTGTTTCTCATGTATATAGGCATTATTTCTTTTTGACATAGAAATTATTGCCAGTATGTATAACATCCCTTTTTTGTTAAATATCATATTGTATTTAACTGACACTGCTTTAAATAAGTAATTGGATGACAGGTTTCATCACTCGCACTTACGATAAGTTTGCAAACCTTTCTATGGATTCAACTGGGATAGTCTATTCTCCTTTTAAGTGGATTAATGTAATTTTAAAGGCCTATCCAGGAACATACTAAATATATGATTAAATGTATTATTTAATATATTAAAATATTATATACATCCTTTTTACTACCCATTTGAAAAAAGGGAAAATAGTCATTGCTCTTGGCATATAGTAAGACTATACTTCTTTATTTAAAAGCTGAAGAAATTATGCATGCAAATTTGAACTGGCATTTTCTCAAAGCTGTCAATTTGGTATTTTGTGCTTAGAAAGCTTATTACATTTTGAGTGAAAAATCAAGAGATAGAAGTTTTGGTGTCTACAGCAGATTGCAAAACATAAACTCAAATGAAAGGTCAAATTTATCCATGAATGGAGCACTGGATGAAACTGGCCTTCTGTGTAAATTTTACTTGGAGCCAGAAGTGTTTGTAGCAAACATAAAAGCACGTTTAACCTTCGCATTTCCTCCCTTGCGATAGTTCTTCTTCTGAACGTGGATTAGAAGGCTGGCAATCCCATGACTTCCCTGGATATTCTTAGATTACAAAAACTTCTATGATCATTTTAAATTACAAACACAACCTCAACTCAAAAAGAAAAACTGTCCTGTTGATGGAAAGTGAAATCTTCTTCCCTCCTCACCCTTGAGCCCCCCATTCCTCTGAAGGTTGAAGTTCTCAGTGGGAGAAGAGGAGGACTATGCGTTCTTCTTCTCACCTTCCTCTTCCACCCCTTGTCCACAGCAGCTTAACCAAAGTGCCTGACTGTGTGAGGCCAGAGGCAAGGTAGAGATAAGAGGGAAGCAGGGTGGGAAAGTTTTTACTGGACTGCCACTGTTGTGAGCTGACTGCCCTGGCACTCTGACCTTGCTCTTGTGGGCATGGTGGTGGGTTCTCCTGAGGTGACCACTGGGAACATTGGCTGTGCATCCGGCAATGGGCTGTCCTGATGATGACCTCTGAAATTTGGTAGCATAAGCCACCAGGAGTAATCACTCTGTCCCATCCTCCCTCAAGTGCTCCTTTTGAGTAGGATTTAAGGTGGCTCCAGTCTGGCTCTTTTTAGCAGGGCCCCCACCGGGTTCCTAGGTCCCTGCCCTCCATGGATGTGTTGTTAGCTCCCAGCCAGTCCAGTTTCTCTCTATCTGCCTTATTGTACACTGTACTTAGATTTCTTATCTGGGTCAGGTGTTATAGCCCAGTCATTTTGTTCCTAAACTCCAGGAAACATAAATCAGGCTCTTTAGGTGGTTGGGTTGAAGACCTTGTTTTTTGACTGGAGTGACTGTCCTGATTTTAGCACTGAAAGTCCTGCAGCCCAGGAACCCCTCCCTCCTTTGCATAGGATGATATGGTTTGGCTCTGGGTCCCCACCCAAATCTCATCTTGAATTGTAACTCCCACAATTCCCATGTGTTGTGGTACGAACCTGGTGGGAGGTAATTGAATTATGGTGGTGGGTATTTCCTGAGCTGTTCTGGTGATAATGAATGAGTCTCATGAGATCTGATGGATTGTTAAGGAAAACCTGTTTTGCTTGGGTCTTATTCTCTCTTTGCCTGCTGCCATTCATGTAAGACAGGACTTGCTTCTCCTTGCCTTCCACCATGATTGTGAGGCTTCCCAAGCCACGTGGAACTGTAAGTCCAATTAAACCTCTTTCTTTGGTAAATTGCCCAGTCTTAGGTATGTCTCTATTAGCAGCATAAAAACGGACTAATACATAGCATAACTGTCCTCACAAAATCCTTCCTTAGTCTACATGCTCTTGACCCTTTTGCATTCTGATGAGAGCCGGGGAGGAGATGTCTAATCAGTTCTAGGAAAAGTGCTTTGAAATTTCTGCAGATTTTTTTTCTTTGAAACTGTGTTTTCTGATGTCTATCATGCCTTGGTGCCTCAGTTGAAACTTGTTGGCTAACTCAGTGATATTAGGCAGGAGTGGGATGCAATTTTGAATGAGGGGGAGACTGATCTTCTAGTTCCCTTCAATGAAGGTTTACTGTCAAAGCCCCAGTCCAGGTTTCTAGCCTAGCACCATGGGAGGAAGATCCCCGAGGGAGGATTATTCCAAGAGGTTTTAATTCCAGGATTATAGGATTCGACTTCTGGTCTACTCCTCTTCCCAAAGTACACCGTTAGCACCGTCCTCCCACCCCAGTAACCCAGATGGAGTTACCTGTCTATTTGGAGATCTAAACATTTCTTGGGCAGGTAAGAACACAAGGGACTAGCTCAGAGCATATTCTGTGTACTTAAATGTTCTACATGTTTGGATAATCAAACATGAATGTTCAATACTGATAATAATAATGCTTATTTATGTGTAAGCATTATTATCCTTATGTGCTTTTCTAAGAGCTTTTCATGTATTAACTCATTTGATTTTCACAACAATTTCAGATGCTAAGTTCCATTTTTAAAATAGGAAGATGAGAAAATGGAGGCACAGAAAGATTAAGCAACTTGGCAAGGTCACATGGCTGGGAAGCGCATGGGAGTCTGACTCTATAGCCCACACTTAATCATCAAGTGATCCTGCCCCTACAAGACCCTGATACCAGCAGTATTTGAAAGATAACCAGTTATGCTGACTATGACAGAGAATGGACAGCATGGGGAAGTGAGGGTTCTGAGTTCTGAGTTTTATAGTCAGAGCTGGTTTTTGACCTTTGCTCTGCCACCAAGGTCACCAAGTTGTGCCACCAAGTTTGGCTGTTTAACTTGGAACATGTCACAGCTCTCTCAGAGTTTTTTTTTTTGAGGCTGAGTTTTGCTCTGTTGCCCAGCCTGGAGTGCAGTGGTATGATCTTGGCCCACTGCAACTTCTGCCTCCCAGGTTCAAGCGATTCTTCTGCTTCAGCCTCCCTAGTAGCTGGGATTACAGGTGCACACCACCACGCCTGTATTTTTAGTAGAGACAGAGTTTCATCACATTGGCCAAGCTGGTCTTGAACTCCTGACCTTAGGCAATCTGCCCACCTTCGCCTCCCAAAGTGCTGGGATTACAGGTGTGAGCCACTGTGCCCAGCCAAGTTGTGTTTTTATAAGGGTACGTAGCAGAGGGCCTGGAACACAGTACATGTCAGTAGATACTTTGTCCTTCTTCCCTCTTTTCACTGCCCATGAAACAACAATTTAGAAGTGAATCTGTGATCTGGAATCAAACAGATTCTTTGAGATGCCTATAGGGCTCATGCTAGAGATTGTTCAAGAGGTGGACTGACCTAAGGCACATGGACAAGTCAACAGTGTGCCCATAGGGCTCATGCTAGAGATTGTTCAAGAGGTGGACTGACATAAGGCACATGGACAAGTCAACAGTGTGCCTATAAGGCTCATGCTAGAGATTGTTAAAGAGGTAAACTAACCTAAGGCACACGAACAAGTCAACAGTGTGTCTATAGATTGTTCAAGAGGTGGACCGACCTAAGGCACACGGACAAGTCAACAGTGTGCCTATAAGGCTCATGCTAGAGATTGTTCAAGAGGTGGACCGACCTAAGGCACACGGACAAGTCAACAGTGTGCCTATAGGGCTCATGCTAGAGATTGTTCAAGAGGTGGACCGACCTAAGGCACACGGACAAGTCAACAGTGTGCCTATAGGGCTCATGCTAGAGATTGTTCAAGAGGTGGACCGACCTAAGGCACACGGACAAGTCAACAGTGTGCCTATAGGGCTCATGCTAGAGATTGTTCAAGAGGTGGACCGACCTAAGGCACACGGACAAGTCAACAGTGTGCCTATAGGGCTCATGCTAGAGATTGTTCAAGAGGTGGACCGACCTAAGGCACACGGACAAGTCAACAGTGTGCCTATAGGGCTCATGCTAGAGATTGTTCAAGAGGTGGACCGACCTAAGGCACACGGACAAGTCAACAGTGTGCCTATAGGGCCTATAGGGCTCATGCTAGAGATTGTTCAAGAGGTGGACCGACCTAAGGCACACGGACAAGTCAACAATGGCAATATTTTAACAAGGAAACTTCTTTCCAAAGGAAACCATGTGGACTGTAAAAAGTATTTGTGATACTAAAATTATTTTTCTTTTGTAGGACAACTTGGCTCTTTAGGAGGGGTAAATCTTGTTTCTGGAAAGATTAAAAAACCTAAGGTGTTCGTGACTGAGGGAAAAGATGTGGCCCTTACTGGGGCATGTGTGTTCTTCATCAGGACTGACCCTTCTAAAGCCATCACCCCTGACAACATCCACCGGCTAAGGGGCAAGAGCTGTTGTTTACTCTGAATTACCAAAAATCAAACAACTTGTACACAAATATTCCTCCAGTAAAGGACAACCATTGTATTCACTACGGTATCTGAAACTCTTCAGAGAAGTATTTTTTAAAAATTTAAAACAAGAAATTAAGAGGACATTCCCTTTAAATCTTTTGAGTAAGAGGACTTAATATTTGATTTATTAACACAAATTGATACAGCCTTCTGGCTGTGTGGAATGTAGGGATTCATGAGCCCCACAGTTGGGCACCAGAATATAGGGAACCAGCTGTACATCACCCGTGGGTACCCTGAGTTCAGTGGGACAAAGGAATCAGAAAAAGACAGATAAGGAGAGAAGGTGGGACCAGGGGACCATCACTTTATTACTTTGGAGGAGACAGTGAAGTCCCCGAGCTCTGATCATCCACATTTTTATTGATTACAATCAGTTTGATCTGTAGGGTAGGAGTGGAGTGATGGTGGAGTGAATCAGTGAGCCGGAAGAGAATCAGTGAGCCGGAACTGGTGTGTCATTCTAAGGACTGATAACAGTGGCGTTTTGGGAGTTTCACAAAACAAGAACACGTGGTTATCTTTAGCCTATTATCTATGTGCAGTTGGTGGAACTCAGGCCTTACAAGGACCCTACAAGTCTGGCTACATCATAGTGCGGGGTTTTACGTCCTTGAGCACAATGTTTTTGGTAACAGAGCCGAGGTCACCCTGCACCGGAACATGAGGCATGGAGAGGCCTTCCTCCTCAGAGGCCTCCTGAGGCCTTCCGCAGTTTGTTGTTCCTTGTTTATATGTTACTCATAACCAATTTATGTAGTTACTCTGTAAGTCCTTTCTCCTTTGCTGCTTTTCCCAACATGTGTAACAGTGAGGGCTTTCTTCTTCTAAAGAATTCCCCATGCATAATTTACTTAGTGGTGAATTTTATACATTTAAGATAAGATTTCTGAAAGTAGATATGTAACTTTCTTTTTTTGCATGAAGTAAAGTGTGTCTGTACAAGTTTTTCCTGTCCCTCTGATGGTGCACTGTCTTCTTGGAGCATATGAATTCGTAAACATCTGGCACTCTATTTATTGCATGCTTTTATTTTGATGATTATAATTTAGGATAGTATAAAGCTTATTTCTTTTTTCTTTTCTTTTTTTTTGGATCTCTCTCTGTGCCCAGGCTGCAGTGCAGTGGCATGATCTTGGCTCACTGCAAGCTCTGCCTCCTGGGTTCAAGCAATTCTCTGCCTCAGTTTTCTGAGTGGCTGGGATTATAGGTGCCCACCATCATGCCTGGCTAATTTTTGTATTTTTAGTAGAGATGGGGTTTCACCACCTTGGCCAGGCTGGTCTTGAACTCCTGTGATCCACACACCTTGGCCTCCCGAAGTGCTGGGATTACAGGCGTAAGCCATTGTGCCCGGCCTGCCTCTTATTTCTTAACCAGGTTGTCACACTAATAATTTTCTTTTTTTCTGAGACAGGGTCTTGCTCTGTTGCCCAGGTTGGAAGGCAGTGATGCCTCTCGGTTCACTGCAGCCTCTGCCTCCTGGGTTCAAGTGATTCTCGTGCCTCAGCCTCCCGAGTAGCTGGGATTATAGGTGCCTGCCACCATGCCAACTGTGTTGCCCAGACTGGTCTTGAACTCCTGATCTCAAGTGATCCACCTGCCTTGGCCACCCAAAGTGCTGGGATTACAGGTGTGAGCCACTATGCCTGGCCCAAACTAATAATTTTCTGGGTATTTGGTAAACTGACAACATTTAGAAATGACTTAGTAGCTGTGTGGCATTTGAGGATCATATGTACAGTAAAGGATCTCCTGCTTGTCTTCCAGGAGGTGAGCTTTAACATGTTAGATGCTGCCGATGGAGGCCTGCTCAACAGTGTGAGGCGTTTGCTGTTGGACATCTTCATTCCTGCTCTCAGAGCCATGAGCCATGGCTGGGGCGAGCTTGAGGGCCTTCAGGACACAGCTCATGTCCGGCAGGAGTTCCTGAGCTCCCTGGAAGGCTTTGTGAATGTCCTGTCGGGTGCCCAGGAGAGTTTGAAGGAGAAGGTAAGGATGAATAAGCTGTTCCTTTAAAAATGATCACGTGGTCAACAAGTGTGTGATGCGTCTCTTAGACGGTCTTAGTTCCTCGTGTTGCAGTTCTTCAAAAAATGTTGTAGGCAATTTTATTGCCCCTTCAAGATGTGGTGGTGATTAGATTCAAGTTTCCACAGTTTGTAATAATCATCACATTCAGGGGTTCCGTAAAAATGTTGGCAGTGATGCAAGACTTTACTCAGTTAGATGAGCGACTCCAAAGGCAAGAGTCCGAAATGCTGTGGCACTGCTGTGCATCCTAGAATGAAAGGAATTTGGAACTGAAGTGTGTGTGTGTGTGTGTGTGTGTGTGTGTGTGTGTGTGGAGGGGATGGGGGTGGCAGATGGAGGTGAGAAGGGATCCTGAAGGGGCAGAAGAAGGAAAGAGGAGTTGATATGTTTGGAGAGAACAAGTTGGATTCTGTGGTTCAGTCAATGATCAAAAGGGCCTTTAAGAATAATTCTGGCAGATGTGAGACTTAGCTTCTGTATGCTTTGTGCTGTTTATAGTGATTACTTGGGGCGGCGTTTGATAGATGCAGGCATGTTTGTGTGTGTGTGTGTGTGTGTGTTTGTGTGTGTGTGAAAGAGATAGAATGAGAGAGAGAGAGAGAGAGAGAGAGAAAGAGAGACGACAAAGGAATAAGAGAGATGACAGAGCCCAGATTGGGCATGTAGGGGGAGGTAGGGAAATGGGTCCCATGGTAATGATGACAGTGTTACACTCTGCCCTGCTCTCCCAGGAGTGCTGATCCTGCTGGGATTGGGGAGGGGGCATTATGCTTTCCAAAGGATGTAGAATGGGGGAGTTAAGCAACCTTTATTCAGGGAGACACAAGATGATTAGCTGGATGACTCCAGCTGCCTGAGTTATTTTTGTGATTAACTGTTGGAGGCCAGACCAAAATGCAGGTTGAACCAAATACAAATGTTGGTATTCTATCTAAAAAAGCAGTATTTTTTTATATGGTTCCACTTCAGATTGCAACAAAAGTTTTGGGTGCCCAGGTGGGAGGAGGCAGTCTTTCTGAGTGGGAGAGGGCAGCGGGCTTTGGGTTGAATTGTGAGGGTGTGTAGGATCACAGGGAAGTGTTCGGAGGTCCCGACAGTCTGGGGCCAATGTGGACAAAGGCACGTGGGAGTGGAGAGGAGCTATGCGCTACCTGACAGACTTCCCAGAACACTGTCAGAGTGCAGCAAAGTGAAAAATAGAGGGCCCAAAGTCTGTGTGTTTTATAAAATCATCATCTTATTATTTAATTTTCATTCTGATTAGGTGAACCTTCGAAAATGTGACATACTTGAACTGAAAACCCTAAAGGAACCTATGGACTACTTGACTCTAGCAAATAACCCTGAGACTTTGGAGAAAATAGAGGATTGTATGAAAGTGTGGATCAAACAGACAGAACAGGTAATTTTGAGAAAACAAATGTCAATTTCAGGTGCCAAGTTACTGAACTAGACAATGGAAGAAGATTCCATTTGCTAAGAGTTTTTACTATAAATCCTTAAGGAGGTGAGAGGTCCAACGTGGTTTTTCATTTACTATCATGAATTAAGAAGAGGTAATGACTTTGTATACTTAGATCACTCAAAGGCTGCACTTTGCAAGTTTTTTTTCCTTGAAGTCTAATTTACTTTGGAAAGAACTGCTGTAGAAGCATGAGGAGTTTTCTATTTTAGCATGTCCTCCAAAAAGGAGCTGGAGACTTAACCTTAAAAAAATTCAGAAAAGTCTTAAATGAAGGAATGAAGGTGGACATTACATTAAAAAGTAAGCACAGTTAAAATCCACTAGCCTAAACCATACAGTTTAATAAGGTTATGTTACTCCAAGGTCATAGAGTAAATGAATAGCCAAGAAAAATTCCTGAGGTCAAGGCCTTCGGAAGCTCATTACAGCTCATTAAATAGGTAGTTTTCTATTGCAGATTGGGTGACTGTAGTTAGCAACAGTATACTGTAGGTTGGTGCAAAAAGTAATTGTGGTTTTTACCATTACTTTCAAGGGCAAATTACTTTTGTACCAATCTAATACTTAGATGAGAGGACTTGAAATGTTACCTACACATAGAAACAGTAAGTAATCAAGGTAATCATATCCCAAATACTCTGATCTGATCATGACACATTCTATACATATAACAAATACTCACATGTACCCCATAAATATGTAAAATACATATCCTTAAAAGAAGAAAATACAAATGAAAAATCTCAAAATAACTCCCAAATATAAACTATTTTCTTTTTTTTTTTTTTGGTGGGTTTCTTTTTTTTTTAATTTTTTTATTTTTTATTGGATTATAGGTTTTGGGGTACATGAGCAGAGCATGCAAGACAGTTGCGTAGGTACACACATGGCAGTGTGCTTTGCTTTTCTTCTCCCCTTCACCCACATTTGGCATTTCTCCCCAGGCTATCCCTCCCCACCTCCCCCTCCCACTGGCCCTCCCCCCAATAGACCCCAGTGTTTAGTACTCCCCTTTCTGTGTCCATGTGTTCTCATTTTTCATCACCCATCTATGAGTGAGAATATGCGGTGTTTCATTTTCTGTTCTTGTGTCAGTTTGCTGAGGATGATGTTTTCCAGATTCATCCATGTCCCTACAAACGACACGAACTCATCATTTCTGATTGCTGCATAATATTCCATGGTGTATATGTGCCACATTTTTTCCAATCCAGTCTATTATCAATGGGCATTTGGGTTGATTCCAGGTCTTTGCTATTGTAAACAGTGCTGCAATGAACATTCGTGTACATGTGTCCTTATAGTAGAACGATTTATAGTCTTTTGGATATATACCCAGTAATGGGATTGCTGGGTCAAATGGAATTTCTATTTCTAAGGCCTTGAGGAATCGCCACACTGTCTTCCACAATGGTTGAACTAATTTACACTACCACCAACAGTGTAAAAGTGTTCCTTTTTCTCCACTGTTGTCTCCAGATTTTTTAATGATCGCCATTCTAACTGGCGTGAGATGGTATCTCAATGTGGTTTTGATTTGCATCTCTCTGATGACCAGTGACGATGAGCATTTTTTCATATGATTGTTGGCCTCATATATGTCTTCTTTCGTAAAGTATCTGTTCATATCCTTTGCCCACTATAAACTATTTTCAAATGAGGAAGGCATAAGTGGTTTTCAGTGAAAACAAGTCAAATAAATTTTCGTTGGCATTTAAAAATGGATGGATACATGCTAAGTTAGTAAAAGATGGTTGCTGGAAGCATGGAATACACATATATCATGATCCAGATAGGATAATCGATTTCCTTATTTGTTTTGCTTGTGTGTAACTTTAGTATCTCCAGCCCCACACAGTGGCTCGTGTTTTCCTGTGCATTTGTAGGTTCTCGCTGAAAACAATCAGTTGTGGAAGGAAGCGGATGACGTTGGGCCACGAGCAGAGCTGAGGCACTGGTATCCAAGTTTAACTACCTCTTGGAACAACTGAAAAGCCCCGATGTGAAGGCCATGCTGGCAGTGCTTGCAGCGGCCAAGTCAAAACTGCTCAAGGTCGTCAGCCATTTCATTTTGCCTTACGAAATGGGAAGGAGAATTCTCTGTGCATATTTTCAAGTCATAGAGTGATTAGGAACAAAAACATGTTATGATACCTTTATGAAAAACATTTAAAATTACGTAATATTTTCCTCATATAACTTTGGAGGCTGTGGAATAGTCTTTGAATTAAAGGTATTTGTTAGCTGGTCTACATGTATGTATATGTGTTATTAGAGGGCATTGCATGTAATTAAGACAGAGCATGATAGCATGTGTGTGTGTGTGTGTATATATATATATATACACACACGCATATGTATGTGTATATAATGATTTCAGACCAGCTAGAAATAATAATAATGAAAACTCACCATATTCATGTTTATTTTTTAGCCCTTGTATATTAGTTTTATATTGCAAACAAAAAAACAACCCCCATTAGCAGCTTAAAACAGCCAATATTTTAATCTCACAGTTCATGGAACAAGAATCTGGGTGCAGCTTAGCTGGGTGCCTCTGACTCCAGGTATCTCATGAGGTTGCAGCTGTGATGTGGGTTCATCTTAAGACTCAACTTGGGGAAGATGTGCTTCTGAGTTCACTCATCTGGATGTTGCTGGATTCAGTTTCTTGCTGGCTGTTGGCTGGAGACTTCCTTCAGTTCCTTCCCATATGGGCCTCTCCATAGAGCAGCTTAGAACATAGCAGCTGGCTTCCCTTAAAGGGAGCAAGTGAGAGAGGCAAGAGAGCACCCAACCTAGAAGCTACAGTCTTTAAACTAGTTCTTGAAGTGACATCCCATCACTTTTGTCATATTCTCCTTACTGGAAGCAAGTCACTAGATTCAGCTCACAATCAAGGAGAAGGGATGAATACAAGAGCTTGAATACAGGGAGTCTGTGGTCATTGGGGATCGAGGCTGCCTAACTCACCTGGCATTAATGTTGGAAAGACTATTTGTTAACTATTTGCATGGGTGTTATTAGCTATTTGCATGTTTTGATACATGCAAATAATCTAAGCAATAATAATTAGTTGCTATAAATGTGCTATAGATTTACTTTGTATTATTCTTAAAAGAAATAGCAGAGGTGAACCTTGCTATATAGTTCAGAAATATTATCAGTCGGACTTCCATGAAGTCAGTGGAACGTATTGATGTGCTAAATAATTTCCTTTTACTTCTCTCACTATTAGATTATATTTTTATTTCTGAGTTCCTAGCTCATAGCACAGTCCTGGCATACAGTTGGCAGATAATAAATATTTACTACATTAATGGAGAAATGTATAGGGATATAGGAAGGGAGGTCAGGTTAGAATAGCAGAAAGACAGAAAACATGGGAGCGGGGTACCAGATGGGTCTGGTAACCAGCGGAGGGGAAAGGTGTGAGTTAAAAGGTAGGTCTTGGTACTCTGTGACAGTCATGGCATAGATTTCATATGCCATGGAAGAGATGCTTTAAAATATTCAGTCAAAAATTTTAAATTGCTTTCCAGCATAGCAATATCTCTCACCCCTCTGGATTCAGTTTTATGTGAGATACGCAGAAAGTCTGGCTTAATGGACTTGTGGTGACTCTTCGCAGTTGTTATGTTGGAATTTCCTCTATTAATAATTGCATTAAAATTGCTTTTCCATATTGTGCTTAGACTTGGCGGGAGACAGATATTCGAATCACTGATGCAACTAACGAAGCAAAGGACAATGTAAAATACTTGTATACACTTGAAAAATGTTGTGACCCTTTGTACAGCAGTGATCCAGTGAATTAAGGATTTCTGCTCTTTTAGTCTATAGATAACCCTTTTTTCACTAGCTGCACTGAATATTGAATTTTGGTTCATTGATATCACAGTCCATTGGAAAGGTCATATATATATATTTCTTATATATATATGTATATATATATATTTCTTATATATATATGTATATATATATGCATATACACACATACACATAGATATCTGTATTTCTATATCTAACTCTAAACAATCTATCTACTATTTATTGAAGATATGTATGAGGTGTTATATTTTAAAACATTTATTGCATGTTACATTTTCCATTAAATGTTGCAAAGGACATTCTGAACTATATACCCCGAAGAACTGTGGGAAAAGTTGTTAACTGGTGATTTATCGTTTAGCTTTGGGAAGTGCCTGCTTTTACTTATTACAACATTAATTGTTATTAACAGTTCATCATTAATAACAGTTAACAGTTAACTTGATGTTCCTTGTCATTAACAGCAGGTCAATGATTCTTTCATTGAAATAACATTTGATTAACCATATATGACTAAAATAATAAAAGTACTATTAAATATATTATATTCATGCAAAGCATTAGATAGTATTTTTAGATGTTTAATATCTTAAACTTTATTTTAATGCCAATGGAATGGTTAGTCTTAGAATTTTGCTCAATTTGATGATTTTTTTTTTCTGAAAACTTTGATGGTATCTTTCAGCTGTCCATGATGGATGCTATTCCTACACTTATAAATGCAATTAAAATGATCTATAGTATCTCTCATTATTATAACACCTCTGAGAAGATCACATCTCTGTTTGTAAAGGTAAGTGTGTGATGTAGAGGTCATGGTCGTTTATATTTCTTTGCCAATGATCAATTTATTGATAATTAAAAATTACCACATTGGCCCAGTTCAACATATATGTATCTTACCATTTTAAAAAGGCTTAGGCTATCAATAGAGATAGAATTAAATTTATATCAGAGGCTGACTCTAGCAAATCATAAAGCATTATCTCCCAAAGTAATTATTATGATAAATATTTTATCATTTATATAATACAAAGGAAAAAAGATTACTTTTGGAATTTCTTTTCCTATGTGGTTGAGCACATCATGTATTCCTACTGGGTAAATTTTAATTAAGAAAAGCTATATTTAACTGGCTGTCTCCTGTTTCATATGCCACTGTTCCAAATTTATCTGATGCCGCAGTTGTTTACTTGGTGTTATTACAACAGTAATCATGGCAATAAAAGCCATTTGCAATGTTCTAGTAATCTATAAAGCAGTTATAATGATTCTGCCAAAAACATAACTATGCTTAAACCTTATGTCCTAACTCGTAAGTGTTTACGGTAAGCATTGTCACTATTCTCATTTTGAATGGTCTCTAAGAAATAAATGACTTTTTCATTATCAAGGCAAAAATCTTAAATGTTGTATTAAAATGGAAGAATTTTTGACTCATCAAGACTTGCATTCTGAATACTAACCATAGTAGGAGGCAAAATTCTTCCTGGGAATAGAGACATCCAGCCTTAAGAGCTCAATGGGAAACTTTTTCCTTCTGCTCTCTTGTAGGTAGTTGAGGTAAAAGAAAAAGGAGGGACAAGATTCCCTCCCAGCTTCCGTATACTTTAAAATTATATGTTAGGGTTGGGGGAGTATTCTCTGTGTAAATGAGACCCAAAAGTAAATTTGTGTGATTATTTTAGGTTTTATGCATATTATTTGCAAAACTTGATCTAGCATAAAATAATGAAACCACCATTTATCTAATTACAAAAAAAGGTTTCATTATGGAAATGTTGAAGTGGGTACAAAAGGAGAGAGAAATGTATACTGGAATGTCATGTACATATCACCTAGATTCAGCAAATAGCCACACATGGCTGATCTTGATTCACCCATACCCCCATACCCCCACCCCTTGCACTGGAAATCCTGGCATCATATCATTCCATGCATACAGCATGGTCATTTAATTTTCTTTGTGTGTTATTCAAAAAATTAATAAATGAATAAAACGTTAGTGGTTTTGTATAGCATCTTTCCTTCTCTCTGTGGCCTCCTCCTTGTGACATTTCCATTGCTGATCATGGAAAGATCAGGGTTGACAGTATTTTAAATGGTGCTAATAAACTGTGAGTTAGATATTATAAAACTCATCAGTTTTTAGGTAGGAAAATGAATCCTTTCTTGGTTGGTTAAGACAATTCATCCTGTATAAACAAGGTGGCCCAAACTGTCAATTTTCCATGGTGCTTCCAACTCTGTGATTTCACAGACGATTTTGACAATATCAGAGGATCATTGGTTGATTATGATTGTATAAATCCAAGCTCAAGTTAGAAGATTGTGAGTTCTGAGAAGCAGAAGAGTTAAGGACCTTCTAGTCCAGAGTATAATCCATGGCTGTTTTGTGTAGTTAACATCATTTTATTGGAAAATCCCAGGTGACAAATCAGATTATATCTGCATGTAAAGCCTATATTACCAATCATGGAACCACTTCCATCTGGAACCAGCCACAGGATGTTGTTGTAGAAAAACTACTATCTGCGATTAAACTGAAAGATGTTCTGTTATTTTTATCTTATTTCTGCTGCTGAGACTATCTGAAATCATTTTGTAACTATTATGTTATTGGTTGCTAAAAAGAACAGTGATTCTTAACTCTTAAGAAAATTGAAAGTTACTATACTTTCCCAGAAAATTTATTCACTTATTTTTTTACCCTCCTTGGGAGCCTACTATGTCCTGATACTACACTAAATACTAGAGATACAAAGACAACTTATATAAGGTTTCTTAAGCATCTTAAAGATGAATGGAGAGAGAGAGTCATAGAAGGATGCTATTACCAAAATCGTGGGACCAAGATGGGAAAACCAGACCTTTGAGTTGTGTCATGAGTAACCAGATTAGAATCTAGAATTGCTTGATTAGAAGAGGTGAAAGATGATTTTCCAGGCTGATGAGTGAGTACACGTAAAGGCATGAAACTATAAAAAAGGCTTGCAATTCCATCCTAGTTTTGCTATTGCCTTCGCTCTGTGGTTCCCTTTGTTGTATATTTTTCTTGTGATTTTAAGGAATACCAGCACTGCTTTCACAAGACAAAACAGAAGCTTAAACAAGATCCAAATGCAAAGCAGTTTGATTTTAGTGAGATGTATATTTTGGGAAAATTTGAAACTTTTCACCAACGCCTTGCCAAGGTAATAGACATCTTTACAATCCTCAGGACGTATTCAGTCCTGCAAGATTCTACAATTGAAGGGCTAGAAGACATAGTCACTAAATACCAGGTATTGTACTTTAAAGCTGTATTTTCTACCATAATCCACAACTAAACTTCAATATTTTATGCAAACAACGGTGTTGAGAATGATTCAAATCATCAGTTTGGAATGTAATATAAATAACCTCATGTCCTCTAACAATAAAGAAATTAGATTTATTTGAGAATTGTGTAATGGTTCTAATATCTTCTTTTCAGGTTTGTGGTTATAAGAATGACTTCCCAAAAAGCATTTTCATTAGTAGTACAGGGAAAATGCTTAAATGTAACTTATTTCATTTATTCATGCAAGAAATATTTAATGAAGACTACACTGTGTCAGGCACTAGTTGACACCAGGCATTGCATGGCACTAAATTATTTCTGCATTTAAGTATTTTATTTGGACCCATATTAAAAAATAGAAAGGACCTGATTTTATTCTAGATCGGACTTCCCTGATTATTTTGATTTTTAACTGCTTTATCTTGTGATGGTATCTGTGTGACTAACTTTAGTTTTGAAAGTAGACATGATGACCTAATAACATCTTGAAGATTTTAGAAATACAATTTATAAACAGTTTGCTTTGAATTCTTAATGTAGACATATTCAATTTTTTTTCTTTTTTGGGGAACAGTGACACTAAATCTTAAATTTTTTTTGTATTTGAATTTGAAAAGGATCATATAATTAACCACTACTCACTAATTTTTTTAAATTGTACTTTAAGTTCATGCAGAACATGCAGGTGCAGATTTGTTACATAGGAATACATGTGCCATGGTGGGTGGCTGCATCCATCACCCCGTCATCTACATTAGGTATTTCTCATAATGCTATCTCCCCCCTAGCCCCCACCTGCCGACAGTCCCCAGAATGTGATGTTCCCCTCCCTGTGTCCATGTGTTCTCGTTGTTCAACTCTCACTTATGAGTGAGAACATGCGGTGTTTGGTTTTCTGTTCTTGGGTTAGTTTGCTGAGAATGATGGCTTCCAGCTTCATCCATGTCCCTGCAAAGGACGTGAACTCATCCTTTTTTATGGCTGCATAGTATTCTATGGTATATATGTACCACATTTTCTTTATCCAGTCTAACATTGATGGGCATTTGGGTTGGTTCCAAGTCTTTGTTATTTACACACTAATTTTTGTACTCTAACAGTTTAGCCTAACATAAGGAATCTTTTTCATTAAGTATACCAAGTTTTGGGAGAGAAAAAGAAAAAGACCTTTAATATAGCAGGAAACCTTTAAAGTTTATTGCCACATAATAGGTGTGCAAGAAATATTTATCAAGAAAATAATTAAGTAGATTGAACTTGAGTAGTTGGTATAAAGGTCACAATCATTTCCTATTTAACTTAATAATCTTAAGTGACCATTAAATCCAATCACAGAGCAGGATTTTCTCAAATCCCCAAATCTTTAAAATTGCTACATCAAAATGTGGTAATGTAGCTTTTCCATACTTCTTTTAGACATTTTATTATTAGTTTTTTTATTGTACTTTAAGCTCTGGGGTACATGTGCTCATCCTGCAGGATTGTTGCATAGGTACACATATGCCGTGGTGGTTTGCTGTCTCCATCCCCCTGTCTCCCACATCAGACATTTCTCCTGGTGTTATCCTTCCCCAACCCCCCACCCTCCTGTCCCTTCCCTCCCCTGGCTCCCCACCTCCTAACCTACTCCAGTGTGAGATGTTTCCCTCCCTGTGCCCATGTGTTTTCATCACCCGCCTATGAGTGAAAATATGCAGTATGTGGTTTTCTGTTCTTGTGTCAGTTTGCTGAGAATGCTGGTTTCCAGATTCATCCCTGTCCCTAAAAATATAATACTATATGTGTGTTTATGTATTTAAATATATATACACACACACATATATACATATACATACACATATACATATGTATATACATATACATACACATATACATATGTATATACATATACATACACACACATAGAGTGTTATATAAAATGTCTAAAAGAAGCATGGAAAAGCTACTTCTATATGTATATGTATATATACATACACATACACTTTGATTCTTTTGATTTTAAGAAATATCAGCACTGTAAATCCTAGCCATTGTATCATTCCATGCATATATATATATATTGTGTGTGTATATTTTATATAACATTTCATGCACACATACATATATATAATGTTATATAAAAACATATATATACACACAGTTTCTAAATAGAAATGCAGCATGAAAGAATAGGTTGTTTTATCTAGTAAACTTGATTCAAAAAGTTATGCCATTTATACACTTCTGTCTATTGAGAGATGTGATGTTTAAATGGAAGTGACTTTGAAGAGGAGATCGTAGAAGGGGGCCCAAAATTCTTCATAAAAATTATATGCCTCTGTCAACAATGTGGGCACCTGAGTTTGAGAATGGCTTAGTGCCTGGTTAAGAAGAATCACAGAGTATTATAGTTCATTATTCAAAGCAAACAAGGCTTCCGATAATAGTATTTTCAAGGAGATGAACTTCCTCGTTGTGCTTTTCTAGTCACAGGCTGCAGCTTTGCGGGGCAGTAGAAAGCAATTAATTCTAGAGGGGTTTTAAGTGGTGGATTCTGGTCTGACATTTTTAAGAGATTTGTGGCTTGGAAGATAGTAACTTGTCTATAGATATAACATAATTATTTTCTTCCGATATCGTTTGTGTTCTGTGAAAGCAAGATTTAAACTTTTCAACAAAATATTTTAGTAAATTATTCACTGGGCTTTAAAAGGGTATTTTAGATATGGCTAACAATACAATTTTAGTGAAAAAAAAATCCTTTCCCAATTTTCAGATGTGGTTTTTATTTTATTTTTTCAAAAATACATAAAACATGAAAATGCTTTCCAAGTGATTTCTTTGAATGCGTATGGCTGCCTTATACTGCCTGTAAAATAATAAGCATGAAACAATGTGAGTAAAAAAATAAGCCTTCCTTTAAACGGATTTTTTTGGCAATTGTTTTATAGGCTCTACATTTAAGGGTCTTATTTAGTTAGGTAATATAAGAATATTGAAATATTATCTAATTTATCTCATAATATTTCAGGACATTGTGGCAACCATAAAGAAAAAGGAATATAATTTCTTAGACCAGCGGAAAATGGATTTTGACCAAGATTATGAAGAGTTTTGCAAGCAGACTAGTGACCTTTTCCTGTTGACAGTCATGTGTTTATTTTTTCCTTTCTGTATAATGCTGTTAATCATTACCCATTCAGAAGGCAGAGGTGCCTTCATCATGGAGGTGACCGATAGCAACCTCAGCCTGTGTTTTGTGATTTCAGATTAATAATTGAAGGCTGTTTTTCATGGATTAAAGGGTCATAAATATAGCTTTGGCTAATGATGTGGATCAGACTTCTACACGTCTTCCATTGAAGTTCTTAGAGAGTTAACTTTCACCTTCTGTTGAACATTGCAGTGTGATTAGAATATAGACACTTATTTCCATTTGTCACTGTGTAGCAATGATTATGACCAGAGGCGGCTCAGGCAAATGGTCAGCAATGTCTGTCAGATTCCAAGGCAGGCCTGCCACTGGCCTTAGAAATGGTGGGACTGCTCAATACCTGGACCCTCTCTTGGTCTTGCAACCCCTTCCTCTCTTCCTTCTTTCCCTGCTCACTGTAGACTAGCCATCTCATATGAGCAGTTTATGGCATCAGCAGCTGAGACTGTTTCACAGGACCAGGCAGGCTACAGATTCCTGGGAAGGGCTTGGGCTAGCCAGTTCTGGTGAGGTGCCTGGTCCTGCACCTCTCAACTGTGAGATCTTGTGCTAGACACTGGCGGGGTGGGATCCACTGGGTCATTGGGAATGTTGATTATCAGGAAAGGGGAGTCAGAGAGGGTAAGATGGGGAGACACCGGGCAGGTATCTACCATAATGAATATGTGGACATTTTTTCATTCCAATGAGGTGCAAATGTATATCTTTCTGACTAAAAGAGGAACATAGCCACTCTATTTCTTTCCCAGAGTTTTTGGTTTGCATTAAATTTGTGCACTTCAAAGTAAAAGGAGCTCTGAGACACCTTTGGAGGAATGAGTTCAATGTTAGAATGAGTCGTAAACGAAGCTAGCTAATCCTATGTGTCAGGCACTGTTCTAAGCATTATAATAATCCTATAAAGTGGGTGCTCTTATTCCGCTCATTTGCAGAGGGGTAATTTGGGACACAGTGAGGTGAAGTGGCTTGCCCAAAGTCACAGACATAACAAGAGGTGGAACCTAGGCATTCTGGCTTTAGAATTCAACTTTTTAACCATTGTGCCATGCAGCAGATGGGAAGGGAGAGTGCCTGTAATAATTTAAGCAATGACTTTTTTTGGGGGCAGATTCAGACCTAAGGACAGTGGATCTTGGTCTCTTTTTGTTAGAAATTGATGGAGAATGGCAAGTTCTGATGTTCCCCTGTGTTTCCCAGCCGTGTTTGACCATGTGTTACTGACGTAACTTTTATGTGGAACATAGATGGTGAGCGCCTTGAATGCAGGGATTATGTTTTATTCCTATATATTAATAAGAAGATGTAGATTTATTGCAATGAAACAGACATTTGCTATACGGCAATTATGTCTGGGTGTCTATGCTGCAGATAAATGAAGTAGATGTGCTCTCGCAGCTCATAGTGAGACAGGAGGCAGACGGTGAAATGATTAAAATGTAAGCACATATGAGTAATGAATGTAGCATTAAAAAAGGGCAGATGGGGCTAAAATGGCTAGTTATGAAAGAATACTATTCTGATATTATGTCAAAAAGTCAGGATTCAGAAGTAAAGAGATATAGCTCAAGTCCTACAGAGATGTATAGGGAGATCAGGTCTGTAAAACGTTACGTAGAATCTGATCTTGTGAACCTAGGAAAAGCTAATCTGATACTTCTGCTTGGCTGGGGTTAGGCTTCAGAGAGGAGGCTGTGCTTGATGCTGGAAAGATGTTTGTGTGGTTTTACTTTCCGTGGTTTCAATTACCCATGATCAACTGTGGTCTGAAAATAGGTGAGTATCGTACAATAAGATGTTTTGAGAGAGGGCACATTCACATAACTTTTATTGCAGTATGTTGTTAAAATCGTGCTAGTTTATGATTATTGTTGCGAATCTCTTACTGTGCCTATTTTGTAAATTAAACATTATTATGTTTGTATGTATAGGGCAAAGCATGGTGTATATAGGGTTTGGTGCTGTCTTTGGTTTCAGTCACTCACTGGGGGTTTTGGAACATATTCCTGAGGATAAAAGGGGACTACTATATTAGTTCCCATTCTACTCAGCCTTCTTAAAAGAAATTCCACACTATTATCTGTCTTGCCTTCCATCTAAAAATTGTTCACTTCTGACTTTTTTGCCGATGAGTTTTTCTTTTACTTAGACTTCCTTATTCCTTTGTCCATTCTCTTTCTCTTAACTAATTGTTCTGCAGCCTCTCCTTTAAATACTCACCCACTCTCATGAATTCAGCCCTTGTCTTGATAAAGCTGTGGCAAAGATACTTACCTTCCCACAACTCTGGATGGAGTGAGGGTGGTGATGAGTCCAGGAGTCTTGGAGAGACTCAACAACTGTAGCATCTCAAGTGAAAGACTCCTGAGTGTGACTTGGATTAGGGTGATGTCCATGGCTGCCCGTCAAAGGGATCAGAGCCTGGAATCCTCTCCAGATTTAGGGTTCATGCTGGTACTCACAGGTCAAAGAAGGCAGCGTGTTGGAACCAAGTGGGCTGTTGGAAGTCTAGAAGCATGCTGATCCCAGCAGATAGAGAAGGCATTGCTTAGTAGAGGATGGGTGTTGAGTGGCAAGCTGAGTTAAGGGAAAAATGAGTAGGAGCTGAGACCCCAGAACTAAAGGGAAGATAAGTGTGAAGATTCCATAAACCAGCCCCCATAGACTGTAAGAATGGACCAAGGCTCAGAACAAGAAAATTAATTCTAGTTCCTACATGTTCACAGACAGTTCAGCCCAGGCCTTTGCGAAGCCATAGGGTTAGAAAGGTAAGAAAAACCAGGTAACAGTGTTAGGGCTCAGTAGAGATTTGCTGGTGTCTGAAGGAGAGGGAGGCAGTGGAAGGGTTACTTATACATAGAGATTTTTTATTGAGTGAAAACATTTAGATACTCATTTAGGTAGGCTAACTGTACTGTTTTTCTAATGCAGGAACATTTTTCATCCTAAGATGTGGATGTAGCAGAAGAAATAATGTCACTTTAAAAATACATATACTTCCAGTAAAAGTAGCCGGAACTATTGTGGGCAAGGAAGTCTTGTAATAGGCTTCCAGATCCTTCAGCTTTGGAGCTTTGTTGGATCGGGCAGGAGGTTTGCAGCTTACCCCCCCCCGCCCCACCCACCAATAGCTCCATCTCAGAATGAGATTAATCAAAGAGTAAAAATGTGTTGTAAAAAAATGATTTAAATATCAAAGATTTAAAAATCCCTTTCATGAACCCCTCAAATATGTTGTCTGAAAGGGTCTTTATGGGTTCTCCTGAGAACATTACACATCTTATACTATTATGTAACTTTGAACCTCCCTCCAAAAAATTGCTCCAAAAGACTAAGCACGTTGTGCATCCTAAGATTTCGTGCAGAGCTATAATTAAAATCTAAATTTAGTTAAATAAAACATAGAAAAATGATTTCCTTATTTTATATTTCATGCTTCAAGAAAAGTCAGCAACTTTTTTTCAACTTACTAGTCAGAAGTTTTAAGTCTTTGCCAACTTGAAGAGACAAGTTGGCATTGTAGTAGTAAAATGAGGAGACTAGTTTGAAATGCAATAAGAATTAGTACCTAAATGGGTTTGATTTCAGATAATGTGAGGTCAGAAGTAACATGGTAAGACAACCAGTTGGCAATATCCAGACCACCACTTCCTTTTTTTTTTTTTTTGAGACAGGGTCTTGCTCTGTCACCCAGGCTGGAGGGCAGTGGTAAGATCTGGGCTCAAACCATCATCCCACCTCAGTCTCCTGAGTATCTGAGACTACAGGTGCACGCCATCATGCCCAGCTAAATTTTATATTTTTTGTAGAGACAGGATTTTGGCATGTTTTCTAACTTCTGGGCTCAAGGGATCTGCCCCCGTTGGCCTCCCAATATGCTGGGATTGAAGGTGTGAGCCACTGTATCTGGCCTACTGTTTCTTAAAAGAGCAGTGGTTAGATTATATACATATAATACACACACACACACATAATCCACATACATAGAATCCATATATATATAAAATCCACATGTCTATAATTTATATATATAACATTCTTATATATTATTCAACACATGTATATATATAATTCACATATATATTAAATCCATATATCTATAATTTTTATATAATATCATATATAATCATATGTAAATATATATGATCTATATCGCTATATATGATTTATGTATGTACATATAAAAATAGCTGAGACTCTCCTTTAATTGCAAGTTTAAGCCATTTACATTGGCTGTGGTTTCTAGTATAGGTACAATTACTTCTACAATCTATTTTGAATTTTCAATGAGGCGAGCTTTTTCTTTGACTTTTTCTGTTTTTTGATTAAATTTTGTTGTTCTCTTTATTTCTCTTCTACTTATATTTTTAATGTTATATTTATGTTTTTAGTGGCTTTAGCATATATACCTGACTTTAAAAAGTTTAAAATTAATTTTTTAATCAGCCCACCTCTCATTCATGCTATGGTTGTCTTGAATTTTAGTTTTATCTTTGCTGTTAAACTTTTTATACTTGTTGTTACTAATAATTATTTAGATTTAGCAACATGTTTACAGATTGCTTTGCTTATTATTAGATCTCATTAGTACTCTAATTGTATCTTTCCCTCTTTTTGGGTTCATTTATCATTCTTTTTTTATTTTTTATTTTTTGAGATGGAGTTTCACTCTTGTTACCCAGGTTGGAGTGCAGTGGTGCAATCTCGGCTCACTGCAACCTCTGCCTCCTGGGTTCAAGCAATTCTCCTGCCTCAGCCTCCCAAGTAGCTAGGACTACAGGCGTGCGCCACCACGCCCAGAGACGGGGTTTCATCATGTTGACCAGGATGGTCTTGATCTCTTGACCTTGTGATCCATCCGCCTCGGCCTCCCAAAAGAAGTATATCTTTTAGTTTTATTTTAATAAGAGTCTGTTAATGGCAAACTCTTCCAGTCTTTACCCTCAAATGCCTATAAAGTTGCCCTCAATCTTGAATATTAGTCTCATTTTACATGTGATTTTAGTTTGGATGTTATTTTCCTTCAGCAGTCAGAAGACATTTTTTCTTTGATTTTTGGCGTCTGCTGTTCTGAATGAGGTATTTGTTATCAAATAGTCATTTCTTGATAGATAATTTGATTTCTCCCTTTTGTGATTTTAATATTATTTTTCTCTTTTAATATTAATATAATTTTTTTGCTTGTAGTATTGTTTTTCTCTTTACCTTTGGAAACTCTATGTGAGTTGTAGGTGTGGTTAAAAAATACTTCTCTTGTTCAGAATTTGGTGTGCTTCCTCCATTTGAGGACTAAGTTTTTTTTTTAACTATGGAAAATACTCAGCCTTTTTCATTTTAAATACCTTCTTCTTTCAGGATTTCCAGTAGACAAGCCATATGTTACATCTTTTTCTGTCTTCCATGTTTGTTAACATCTTTTCTTTTTTTTGTATTTTTCCATTTCTTTATTTCTCTGCTATACTTTGGGTGATTTTATTTGAGAACTGTCTTGCCATTCATCCTTTTTCTTTTCAGGTGTATATAATTTGCATCTATTATATTTTGAATTATAATTATGTTCCCCTGTATATGTGTAAGTTTTATTTTTAAATATCTGAGTGCTCTTATTTTATACTGTTCTGTTCTTTCTATGGTTTCTGTTTCTTCTTTACTCTTCACCAACTTTAAATATATTTATTTCATAGTCTCCTTCAGACTGCTATATCATTTCTAGTACTTGGTTACTAATTATGTTTCTGTATTCTACTCCTCCTCTCTCAAAGATCATTTTCTCATGGGATTTTCAAAAACCTTTTTTTAGAAGTTATGTATTTATTTTTTTTCTGGTAGGAATCTTTTGGTCCTGGCCTTTCAAAGTGTTTCTATAGAGTGGCTTTTCATGAATTCTGCTTGGGTCTTAGTAGTTTTACCTTCCCAGACAAACTTTTATGTCAATGTCTTGGGTTATATCCCTTTTATTTCATGTGTAGTTTAAACTTGGACCCCTTATCTAGGTGTGGCACAGATGTGGGATTTCAGTTCCTCTAGGGCAGGGATCAGCAAACTATGGCCAAGAGCCAAAGAGTGCTTTGCCCATTTATTTGTACACTGTCCATGGGTGCTTTGGCATTACAGTGGTAGAAGTGAGTAGCTGTGGTGAGAAAGTATGAGAACTCTATTGTAGGGTGAGTTTTTCCCATCTATTTAAGGGTTTGGGCAGATGTCAAGCCTCTTTGCAGCTTTCCCAACTTGTGACTCAATTCCCTTTGTGTGTACTGGGCAGCGCTTCAAAGATCCTGGCTTTCCACAGGATTGAGAGTGTTAGGACCCCACAGCCCTTCTCTCCATATTGTGATAAAGCCCCCCCCGCCACCCCCGGGCTCTGTGTCTGGCCCAATACCCATGGAAGCTGCTGTGGTGCCACCTCCGTGGCTGCCCTGGCTTTCAAGTCTTTCTTTGCTTCTGGCTTCTGGGCATTTATTTTTCTTTTAAGCTCATTCAATTTTCAGTTACATTTTCTTCCATATCATGTGTTTGCACAGAATGGAAAGTTCCTTTATCTTGTTACTAAACAGGAAATTCCCAGTGCTATTTTATTGTTCATCATTAGATTTTATTCTGTTTTAGAATGAGTTGCAGAAGTTCATGGATGTTACATTTGAAAAGATTCAAAACACAAATCAAGCTCTAAGAATGTTGAAGAAATTTGAAAGGTAAAAGTTTCAAGAAATTTTCTATTACCTAAAATTAGGATAGTTTAGCTTTTATTGTTGTTATTAATATTATTATTATTTCATATTCCAATGGAAAACTTCTGTCGACAATTTGAGGTCACAGTTTTTAAGTTTTTCAGAGGATTAATCCTCTTAAGGATTCAGGATTTATTTTATTTCTTGAAATAGAGAATACTCTTAGCTTTGATGTACCTTGTGACTGCCTATAGTAATATTTCCTAATGTATAGGCAATTTGAAAATAGTCTTTCCAAGTAAATAGTTTCGCCTACATTTTATGGATGAGTTTTATTTTTATTCTTTTAATATTCCACACAAATGTCTCATTCTTCATTAGCATTTGTTTTAAAATAAATATTAATGAGATTACCAGATATTTTTATTGTGTATTTATTTTATTTTATTCCATTAATTCAAGCTTTTAACTATTTTTAAAAAATCAGATTGAATATACCTAATCTTGGTATTGATGACAAATATCGACTTATCCTTGAGAACTATGGGGCTGACATTGATACGATTTCAAAGCTATATACAAAGCAGAAATACGATCCTCCTCTGGCATCGCTGGGAAGATCCTGTGGGCCCGCCAGCTCTTCCATAGGATTCGGCAGCCCATGCAGCTTTTCCAGCAGCACCCAGCTGTGCTAAGCACAGCAGAAGCCAAACCTATAATTCGCAGTTACAATAGGATGGCCAAAGTCCTCCTGGAGTTTGAGGTCCTCTTCCACAGGGCGTGGCTTCGGCAGGTGAGTCCCTGCATTTATACTCTTCCCGTTGTTGGAATCATGGGAACCCCTCCTTAGCATTTCACAGTGTTATTTCTGTAGAAAGCTGGATTTGTAGGTATTTTGTAAGGTAGTTGGGTTGAATCTAAGCAATCAAAGAGTGTAATATGTCCACAAAGAAAAGTAATTAAATTTGAAAAAAGAAAAAACCACAAGCCAGGTAACAAAACCCCATTTTTATTTAATTTATAAACTCCAAAGTGTAAATTAGAAAGTGTAATTTACAAACTCCAAAGTGAGAAGATCTTGTTTATTGGTTCCTATGCCCAATCTAAGGATAGCTTCCTTTTTAAAATTCAGTCAGATCCAGCCAGGCACGGTGACTCTGATTCATGTCTGTAATCCCAGCACTTTGGGAGGCCGAGGCAGGTGGATCATGAGGTCAAGAGTTCGAAACCATCCTGGTCAACATGGTGAAACCCCATCTCTACTAAAAATACAAAAATTAGCCGGGTATGGTGGCACATACCTGTAGTCCCAGCTACCCGGGAGGCTGAGGGGGAAGAACTGCTTGAACCCAGGAGGCAGAGTTTGCAGTGAGCTGAGATTGTGCCACTGCACTCCGCCCCGGTGACAGAGCAAGACTCCATCTAAAAAACAAAATCAGTCAGATCCTAAATGTGTCATTAAACACAAGTACATCTGTTAAACAAAGTCTTAAATTTTCTTTGGTTGTAACACTGGTATGTAACCATAGCATATCCTACCAATACATGTATTTCTTTGTAGGTTGGCAGGATGTGATGATAACTAAAAACTGAGTTTAGGAGGTTTTACGGAACTTTTATTTGGGAAGAATGATAGAATAGGCATGAAGGTGTCAGGTAGCTAAATGGCTTTTGAGATCACTACTGTTACAGTGTCTACTTATTTATCAGTGTGAGAGTCATAACCAAAAGGTGTTTTTTTGAGATGTAGTTTCACTTTTGTTGCCTAGGCTGGAGTGCAATGGCTTGATTTTGGCTCACTGCAATCACTGCCTCCTGGGTTCAAGTAATTCTCCTGCCTCAGCCTCCCAAGTAGCTGGGATTGATTACAGGCATGCACCACTATGCCCGGCCCATTTTGTATTTTTAGTAGAGATGGGGTTTCTCCCTGTTGGTCAGGCTGGTCTCGAACTCCTGCCCTCCAGTGATCTGCCTGCCTTGGCCTCCCGAAGTGCTGGGATTATAGGCATGAGCTACCGTGCCCTGCCTGACTAAAAGGTTTGATTGAACTGACTGCCCAACATCAACACTGAAGATTGTTTTACGAGACTGGATTTAGGAGAAGGGTCAGTGATCTTATTGCCCTTAGTTTAGGAAGCTCAAATCCATGGAAGAACACTTAATGATCCTTATTCCCAGAGATAGCTGAACTAGATATTCTGTAAGCATTAGACTTTCTAATAGCAGTAATGTTGGTTTCTTCCCACAGATTGAAGAAATTCATGTAGGTCTTGAGGCTTCATTATTGGTGAAGACTCCAGGCACAGGGGAATTGTTTGTAAACTTTGATCCTCAGATATTAATCTTATTTAGAGAAACAGAGTGCATGTCCCAGATGGGTCTGGAAGTTTCACCATTGGCAGCTTCCCTCTTCCAGAAGCGAGACAGATACAAAAGGAACTTCAGTAACGTGAAGGTATACTACTTTCATTTTTTCCCTCTATTCTTGGCTAGCTCTAGAATGTATTGTCAAAACATATGGTGATGTGTCATATTCAAGGGGCAGAAAGTGGCACTGAGGGAACAGTGCCATGGGATGTGGCTGCTGAGTTGACTGGGGCCAGGCTGTGATAGGTCTTGCAGGCCAAGATGAGTTTGGGTCTTATTTTGAGTGTACCAGGAAACCACTGGAGGATTTTGAGCCACCAAAAAAAGCATGATCTCTTTTGTAATAAAAGTTTTTCTTACTGCTGGGTGGACAATGGCTGTTAAGAGGGACAGTGGTATCAGTGGGAAGCCAGTTTGTGAAGTGTTGCACTGGCCCAGGATGAAGTTGATAGCTTGAACTAGGATGGCAGCAGAGTTGTTCAGAGAATTTAGTTATGCCAACGCGCAGGTTATGAGAGAACTCAGGAATAATTCCAGTGCTTTTGGTGTGAGCAATTCAATGAATTAAAGTAGGGCTACCATGGGGTGCTGTGTAGGTTGCATCCTTTACAAGTTGTGCAATAATATCCAGGGGCCATGACTGTAAGTTCAATTTATGGAGATGTCAAAATTTAGGCAGCAGGAGAGAATCAATAGTTCCCATTTAAGTACCAGCTAGTTTTCAGACAGCCAAGTGGCAACGTTGTCCATGCAGTTGGATATGTAAGTCTGGAGTTCAGTGGAGAAGCCGAAGTTGGAACATGCTTTTGAGAATTATCAGAATATAGTTGCTATTTAATAGAGGAGATCTCTTAGGGGAGAGAATACACATGGAGAATAATGGAGGGCCACTGGACCAAGCATTGGGTTGTTCCAATATTAACAGGTTTGATAGAAGATGACAGATGTGCAAATACAACAAAAGATTGACTTTTGAGCTGGGAAGAGACCAAGTGTCAAGAAAGCCAAGGATGGCCGGGCGCGGTGGCTCATGTCTGTAATCCCACCACTGTGGGAGGCTGGGGTGGGCAGATCACCTGAGGTCAGGAGTTTGAGACCAGCCTGGCTAACATGGTGAAACCCTGTCTCTACTGAAAATACAAAAATTAGCTGGGCGTGGTGGGTAGTCCTAGCTACTGGGAAGGCGGAGGTTGCAGTGAGCTGAGATTGTGCCCTTGCACTCCAGCCTGGGCAACAGAGTGCAAGTCATATAAAGAAAGAAAGAGAGAAAAAAAAGGAGGTACTTAGAGACGGACTGGTCACCAGTGACAAATGTCGCTGCCCAGGGGATGAAAAAGGTGAGGTTAGAGATGCTGCCACGGGAGCTGACAACATGGAAACCATTGTTAAAATTTCATAGTGGTTAACATCACATGACAGTACTAAGTCCATGCACTTGCATTGTACTTTACATTTACAGCCATGTTCATGCTCATTATTTCATTTGCTCTTTTCTACCACCATATTAGGTAACTAGGACAGAATACTATTATTTTGTTTTATAGATGACAAAACCGTGGCTGAGAGAAGATAAATGATTTATTTTTATTTTATAATTTTTATTTTTTATTGTGCTTTAGGTTCTGGGGTACATGTGCAGATCATGCAGGATTGTTGCATCGGTACATACATGGCAAGGTGATTTACCACCTTCATCCCCCCATCACCTGTATCTGGCATTTCTCCCCACGTTATCCTTCCCCACCCTCCCCACTCCCTGCTGTCCCCCGCAAGCCCCCCAAGCTGACCACAGTGTATGATGCACCCTTCCCTGTGTCTACGTGTGTTCTCATTGTTCAACATCCGCCTATGAGTGAGAACATGTGGTGTTTGGTTTTCTGTTCTTGTGTCAGTTTGCTGAGAATGAGGATTTCCAGATTCATCCATGTCCCTATGAAGGACTTGAACTCATTGTTTTTTATGGCTCTGTAGTATTCCATGGTGTATATATGCCAGATTTTCTTTATCCAGTATATCATTGATGGACATTTGGGTTGGTTCCAAGTCTTTGCTATTGTAAACAGTGCCACAATGAACATATGTGTGCATGTGTCTTTATAATAGAACACTTTATAATTCTTTGGGTATAGTATATACCCAATAACGGGATTGCTGGGTCAAAGAATTTCTATTTCTAGGTCCTTGAGGAATTGTCACACTGTCTTCCACAATGGGTGCATTAATTTACATTCCCACGAACACTGTAAAAGTGTTCCTATTTCTCCACATCCTCTCCAGCATCTGTTGTCTCCAGATTTTTTAATGATCGCCATTCTAACTGTTGTGAGATGGTATCTCAATGTGGTTTTCATTTGCATTTCTCTAATGACCAGTGATGATGAGCATTTTTTCATATGTTTGTTGGCCTCATACATGTCTTCTTTTGAAAAGCATCTGTTCATGTCCTTTGCCTACTTTTGAATGGGTTTTTTTTTTCTTGTACATCTGTTTTAGTTCTTTGTAGAGTCTGGATATTAGCCCTTTGTCAAATGGGTAGATTGCAAAAATTTGTTCCCATTCTGTTGGTTGCTGGTTCACTCTAATGATTGTTTCTTTGGCTGTACAGAAGCTCTAGAGTTTAATTAGATCCCATTTGTCTATTTGGCTTTTGTTCTTGGTGTTTTAATCATGAAGTCCTTGCCTATGCCTATGTCCTGAATGGTTTTGCCTAGGTTTTATTCTAGAGTTTTTATGGTATTAGGTCTTATGTTTAGATCTTTAATCCATCTGTAGTTAATTTTAGTGTAGGGTGTCAGAAAGGGGTCCAGTTTCTGCTTTCTGCACATGGCTAGCCAGTTTTCCCAACACCATTTATTGAACAGGGAATCCTTTCCCCATTGCTTGTTTTTGTCATGTCTGTCAAACATCAGGTGATTGTAGATGTGTGGTGTTGCTTCTGAGGCCTCTGTTCTGTTCCATTGGTCTATATCTCTGTTTTGGTACTAGTAGCATGCTGTTTTCATTACTGTGGCCTAGTAGTATAGTTTGAACTCAGGCAGCATGATGCTTCCAGCTTTGTTCTTTTTGCTTAGGATTGTTTTGGCTATGCAGGCTCTCTTTTGGTTCCATATGAAGTCTGAAGTGGTTTTTTTTCCAGTTTTGTGAAGAGGGTCATTGGTAGCTTGATGGGGATAACATTGAATCTATAAATTACTTAGGGCAGTATGACCATTTTCACGATATTGATTCTTTCCAACCATGACCATGGAATGTTTTTCTATCTGTGTCCTCTCTTATTTCCTTGAGCAGTGGTTTGTAGTTCTCCTTGAAGAGGACCTTTACATCCTTTGTTAGTTGTATTCCTAGGTATTTTATTCTCTCTGTAGCAATTGTGAATGGCAGTTCGTTCTTGATTTGGCTCTCTTTCAGTCTGTTATTGGTGTATAGAAATGCTTGTGATTTTTGCACATTGATTTTGTATCCTGAGACTGCTGAAGTTGCTTATCAGTTTCAGGAGATTTGGGGCTGAGACGATGGGGTCTTCTAAATATACAATCATGTCATCTGCAAATAGAGGCAATTTGACTTCCTCCTTTCCTAATTGAATACCCTTTATTTCTTTCTCTTGCCTGATTGCTCTGGCTAGAGTGAGAGAGGGCATCCTTGTCTAGTGCCAGATTTCAAAGGGAATGCTTCCAGTTTTTGCCCATTCAGTATGATATTGGCTGTGGGTTTGTCGTAAATAGCTTTTATTATTTTGAGATATGTTCCATTGACACCTAGTTTATTGAGAGTTTTTAGCATAAAGGGCTGTTGGATTTTGTTGAAGGCCTTCTCTGCATCTATTGAGATAATCATGTGGTTTTTGTCTTTGGTTCTGTTTATATGATGGATTATATTTATAGACTTGCATATATTGAACCAGCCCTGCATCCTGAGGATGAAGCCTACTTGATTATGATGAATAAGCTTTTTGATTTGCTGTTTCCTTTGGTTTGCCAGTATTTTATTGAAGATTTTTGCATCTATGTTCATCATGGATATTGGCCTGAAATTTTCTTTTTCAGTTGAGTCTCTGCCCAGTTTTCATATCAGGATGATGTTGGTCTCATAAAATGAGTTGGGGAGGAGTTTGGAATAGTTTCAGAACATATGGTACCAGTTCCTCTTTGTACATCTGGTAGAATTCAGCTGTTAAGCTGTCTGGATGTGGACTTTTTTAGATTTGTAGGCTTCAGCCCTTGTTATTAGTCTATTCAGGGTTTCAACTTCTTCCTGGTTTAGTCTTGGAAGAGTTCACGTGTCCAGGAATTTGTCCATTTCTTCTAGGTTTACTAGTTTATGTGCATAGAGTTGTTTGTAGTAATCTCTTATGGTAGTTTGTATTTCTGTGGAATTGGTGGTGATGTCCCCTTTATTGTTTTTTATTGCATCTATTTGATTCTTCTCTCTTTTTTGTTTTATTAGTCTGGCTAGCAGTCTATCCATTTTGTTGATCTTTTCAAAGAACCAGCTCCTGGGTTTGTTGATTTTTTGAAGGATTTTTTGTGTCTTTATCTCCTTCAGTTCTGCTCTGATCTTAGTTATTTCTTGTCTTCTGCCAGCTTGAGTTTCTTTAACACTTTCGATTTTGATGATAGGGTGTCGATTTTAGATCTTTTCTTGCTCCTCATGTGGGCATTTATTGCTATGAATATCCCTCTAGACACTGCTTTAAATGTATCCCAGAGATTCTGGTATGTTGTCTCTTATTTCTTGGTTTTGAAGAACATGTTTATTTCTGCTATCATTTCATTGTTTATCCAGTCAACATTCAAGAGCCAGTTGTTCAGTTTCTATGAAGTTGTGCAGTTCTGAGTTAGTTTCTTAATCCTGAGTTCTAATTTGATTGCGCTGTGGTCTGAGAGACTGTTTGTTATGATTTCTGTTCTTTTGCATTTGCTGAAGAGTGATTTACTTCCAATTATGTGATCAATTTAGAGTAAGTGTGATGTGGTGCTGAGAAGAATGTATATTTTGTGAATTTGGGGTTGAGAGTTCTGTAAATGTCTATTAGGGTTGCTTGGTCCAGATCTGCATTCAAGTCCTGGATTTCATTGTTGATTTGATCTGTCTAATATTGACAGTGTAGTGTTAAAGTCTCCCACTATTATTGTGTGGGAGTCTAAGTCTCTTTGTAGGTTGTTAAGAACTTGCTTTATGTATCTGGGTGCTCCTGTATTGGGTGCATATGTATTTAGAATAGTTAGCTCTTCTTGTTTTATTGATTCTTTCACCATTATGTAATGCTTTTCTTTGTCTCTTTTGATTTTTGTTGGTTTAAAGTCCACTTTATCAGAGAGTAGGATTGCCACCCCTGCTTTTTCTTTGCTCTCCATCTGCTTGGTAAATCTTCTTCCATCCTTTTTTTTTTTTTGAATTTATGTAGTATGTCTTTGCACGTGAGTTAGGTCTCTGGAATATAGCACACTGATTGTTCTTGTCTTTTTATCCAGTTTGCCAGTCTGTGTCTTTTGATTGGGTCATTTAGTCTGTTTACATTTAATGTTAATATTGTTATCTGTAAATTTGATCCTGCCATTTCTGGTTGGCATTATTTCTTCATTGCATCATTGGTCTTTGCTGTTTGGTTCTTTTTTGCAGTGGCTGGAACTGGTTTTTCCTTTCTGTGTTTAGTGCTTCCTTTGGAAGCTCTTGTAGGGCAAGTCTGGTATTGATGAAATCTTTCAAGAATTGCTTGTCTGTAAAGGATTTTATTTCTCCTTCACTTATGAAGCTTAGTTTGGCTGGATATGAAATTCTGGGTTGAAAGTTCTTTTCTCTAAGGATGTTGAATATTGGGCCCCATTCTCTTCTGGCTTGTAGGGTTTCTACTGAGACATCCGCTGTGAGTCTGGTGGGCTTTCCTCTGTGGGTCAGTGACCAGACCTCTCTCTCTGGCTGCGCTTAGGACTTTTTCCTTCATTTCAACCCTGGTGAATCTGACAATTATGCACCTTGTGCTTGCTCTTTTAGAGGAGTATCATTGTGGTGTTCTCTGTATTTCCTGTATTTGAATGTTGGCCTGCCTGAAGTTCTCCTGGATAATATCCTGAAGGGTGTTTTCCAGCTTGGATTCATTCTCCCTATCTTCTTCTGGTACACCAATCAAGCATAGATTAGGTCTTTTCACATAATCCCATATATCTTGGAGGTTTTCTTCATTTCTTTTCACTCTTTTTTCCCTTTGCTTGCCTTCTTATTTTATTTCATTGAGTTGATCTTCAATCTCTGATATCCCTTCTTCTGCTTGATCTGTTCAGCTATTGAAACTTATGTATGTTTCATGAAGTTCTTGTGCTGTGTTTTTCAGCTCCATCAAGTCATTTATGTTCTTCACTAAGCTGGTTATTCTATTAAGCATTTCATCTAACCTTTTTTCAAGGTTTTTAGTTTCTTTGCATTGGGTTAGAACATGTTCCTTTAATTCAGAGAAGTTTGTTATTACTCACCTTCTGAAGCCTGCTTCTGTCAGTTCATCAAATTCATTCTCCATCCTGCTGTGTTCCCTTAATGGTGAGGAGTTGTGACTCGTGGTGGGGGAGAAGCATTCTGGTTTTTGATGTTTTCATCCTTGTTGCATTGATTTCTTCCTATCTTTTTGAATTTTTACAGGTTTGATCTCAGGTAGCTGCTTGGGGAGGCGGCCTTTCCTTTGTCTGCCTGCAGAGGCACTGCTAGGCTGCCATGGATTCAATGGAGCTGCTGCATATTTTTCCTGCATCTTATATTTGCTCAGGAAAATTAGGCCAGGTTCTGCAATGGTGGCTGCCGGTCTCCCTGCCAAGCTCGTTCATTCCTGATCACTCTCTAACTGATGTTCTGGGTGTGAAACTCTGAAGTGAGAGTTTTTTAGCCTGCTAGGTTTTGTAGGGGGAGACCTGTCCTGCTGTATGGCCTGTTTGCCTGTGTTCAGTTCCCCTTCTTTCTGGGGGGTGGGCAGCTCTGTCCCGCTGGCTTTTTGGCTTCCTTGGCATCAGCCAGTGCTTCCATCTAGATCTATGCTGACAGCCCTGGTACCAGCCGAAGTGCTGTTCTGCCCTGTTCAGGCAGCTTGCTGAGGATTTTCAGCCCAGTGAAGAGCTCCTTCTCTGTGGGTTGTAGAGGGCTTGAGTGGAGCACTGTATCCGAACTGAAGTCCCAGAGGGGGAGATCCTCCAGTCCTCCAGTCAGTTGCATGCACCACCTGGGTGGGACAGTGCCCCGCCTTGCCTCAACCTGCCCTATTTGGTTTATACCCGCTGTCCAACCAGAGCCACAAAATAAACCTGGTACCTTGTTTGGAATTGTGGAGACCACTCGGCTTCTGCATCTTTTTCGCTGGGAGCTATGTTCCAGAGCCGCCTCTTATTCGGCCATCTTGGTACCTCCCGATAAATGATTTAACAAAGGTTTCATAGCTGGAAAGTGGCAGAAGTAGTCCTACTCAACGTGAGTAGGACCTACTGGTCAGGCAGGTTTAGGGGATCATCTAAAGTGTTTAGGGGATCATCTAAAGTGTTACAGAGTTGTTGTTCTGAGCTTTCAGGCTTCTGCAGGTACATCAAAGTAGCTGAGAGTTTCTTTCCTTCATCTGTTCCTTGGAAAACAGTTGAACTAGAAAGAGAAGACCAGAACCCAGACTTGTGGTCCACTGTCTTCCACTACTTCATGTCATATTAAAACGTTACATTGGCAATGGACAGTCATTCCTCAAATGTAGATTCTAAAATGCCAGTCAGCATGTTGGGATTCCCTTTTAGACCCTTTCACATTAGGAAACTCACTTAGTCAATTTACATGTTCATAAAGAAAATCACATTTTTACTAAGAAACCATAAGTACAAGATTATAAAATTACTGAGAATTTAATTTTATTTGCAGAGTTGTTTCAGTTGTCTGTTGCAGGCAACAAACAGTTGTAAGCATGTCATAGGGGTTTACAATAACCGTATCATTATATCATGACTTCATGGGTAAAGAACTTGAGTGAGGTTTGTCTAGGTGATTCTTCTGTTCCTGCTTAGTGGTGTTCAGCTGGCTGATGTTTGACCTGTAAGGTCCAAGAAGGCCTTGTTTCATGTCTGTTTCTTTCGTGAGGAAGGCTGGAAGGTACTCTCAGGTGGGACTGTGAACAGGCGCACCTATACATGGCCTTGCAGTATGGAGGCCTCTGGCTACTAGAATTTCTTGTATGGCAACTCAGGGTTTCAAGAACAAGCACTACAGCCACAGGGACTTTACGATAGCCTCAAGTGTCTCATGGCATCATCTCTGTTGTACTTTGTTGGACTGTAAACCTACCCAAATTCAAAAAAAAGGGGGATATGGCCCCCACTCCATGAAGGGGAGGATCAAAGAATATTTTAAAAACATCATCTAAACGGTTGCAGTTATTGTGCTGAATATTTGACAGAACTTTAAGGCTTCTGCAGAGACGCCCAAGTAGTTGAGAGTTTGTTTCCTCCATCTATTCCTTGGAAGACAGTTGAACTAGAAAGAGAAGACCAAGTACAGAATAGATACAAATACAGGTTCTGAAGCCAATTTAATCTGGATTCAAATAATTATCTTTGGGTAAGTGGCTTTACCTTCTAAGCGTGGGTTTCTCTTTTGTTAAAGCAGTTGAGTACTACCTTCTGGGATGAAAGGTGGGAAGCAGAATGCCTGCTAGAAGCTGATTCTAAGACTGTTTCCAGATAGAATAACTGATGGACATTGAAAAAAGCAAGCAGTGGATACAAACTTCAGAAAACGTGTAAGTAGCTGCTAATAGAACCAGAAAATCTGGACTTTTCCAAAGTGGCTTTTATGGACATTGAAGGAATATTATGGAAATTGTGGAAAAAGATTATATGAGGAAAGGATTATGAGGTCCATTTGAGAAATATTGGGTTTAACAAAATTTTCAAAGCCTTGCAAGGTTTTCTACTTCCTTGAGCAGGCTTCTAAGAATCTCTAATGTTAGCTTTGACTATCCAAGAAGGGAGATATTGTATGCAATCTGTCAAAGGAGCATTTTTCTCATAGAATCTCTTTGGCTTAGTACTCCAGGCAAACAGTTTGGAAAACATTAATCTATTATCAGGGTAGTGCCAACATGCACATATGTGGTCTTAATACCAACTGTATTTATGAGGCACATTAAAGTTATTTTCTTATAATTAATGATTATTAATATTGACATGGTTACATATGAACAAAATAGTGACACAGTTTGACATTGTATAAATAATACTGACACAGTTCAACATTATGTACATTTCAATAAAAGACGAGAATCCCCATTTCAGATGAAAAATTAATCTTCTGATATCAACTAATTGATTAATTAGATAGATATTGATTTATTATCTCCTATGTGCCAGGTGCTGGTGCAGGCTCACGGAACAAAGCAGACAACACCCTTGTCCTTGTAGAACTTAAAGTCTAATTGGGTAGGACAGAAAATGAACATTGTAAATATGTAAATTAATATAGTCTATTATAATAAAACATGGAAAAATGGGGGGATAAAATGTGTGAGTGGTTTTGGTGGTGGCTTATAATCTTAAAAGGGTAGTGATGATGGGTGTAATTGAGAAAGTGACATTTGAATAATTAATCGAAGGAGGTGCAAAGGCCCTGAGGCTCAGGACCAGAAAGAAAGACAGTCAGGCAGGTGTGGGTAAGAAAGGGAAAGAGTGGTTGGAGATGAGATCAGAGAAGTAATGGGACAAAATTGGGTAGATCTTTCTAGACCAAGCACCTATCCAAGTCCTTTGTATAAAGGTTTGTAGCCCTGAATTAAATGCAGGCTGTGTAACCATGTGAGCAGAGGAGTGATATTATTTGAATTCTCATTTTGAAAGGATCATTTTTGCTGTTAAACTGTACCTAGACTTATTGGGAGGGTGATTGAAGCAGGGAGACAATGGTAGACCACCCCAATAATTGAGGAGGTAGCCAACAATGGCAGTAACTGTTGATGTGGAAAGCAAGTCAGATTTTGAGTTTCTTTTGAGTAGACTGCAAACAAGATATCCTAATGGATTATGTGTGGGGTGTGTGTGTGAGAGAGAGAGAGAGGAATCAAGGATGACTCTGGGTTTTGGCCTGTGAACTGGAAGGATAAAGTCACTATCAGCTGAGTTATAGAATGAGCTGGAATGAATTAGAGAATTAATAAACTTAATAAGTCCAAACTGAGACTTACTAAGTTTGAAATGTCTGCTAAGTATTGAAGTGGAAAGTTTGGGAGGCTGCTGCTATTCATGAATCTAGACTTTTAGGAGTGAGATCTGGGCTGCATGTGAATGTGTTTGTTTCTGGCATATGGATGAAATTCAAAGCCATGACACTAGTTGAAATCAGTACTGGTTTCCTGTGTGCTTTGGGTCTTGGCAACGAGATTTGGCCCATAATCCTGGCGAAAGGCTAATGTAGACCTCTGGTGACCCAGATGTTTTGGGTGATGAGTGTGGTCTGCAAGAGGTGCACGCATGTTGTACCAGTGTACAAAGCAGAACAAACGAGCCTGGTGATGTGCAGGCAAAGGTGCCATTACCATGTCTCTGCATGGTTTAGAAAAATTACTTGACCCTAGGGTTTTTCCCTTTCTAGGCTGCATAGGAGGTGAGGCAGTCTTAAATTCTTGTTCATCTTCAGTTCTTTCTTTTGGATTTGGAATTTGTAATGATGTAGAGTCCTTGTCTTCTTTTCTTTTTATTGCTTTGGCTACTCTACTTGCTACACTGTTAGAGACCTACAGTTTGACCCTAAATAAAAGTAGTCATTTTATATAAGACATGAGATACTAATAGACAGAGGTAAGATATTAATTGATTACTTAACCTCAATTTCATTGCAGATGATGCTAGCTGAATATCAGAGAGTGAAGTAAAAAATGCCTCCCGCCATTGAGCAACTGATGGTTCCTCACTTGGCCAAAGTGGATGAAGCTCTCCAGCCTGGCTTGGCTGCACGTCTCTGAATATTCAGGCATATTTAGAAAACACTTTTGCAAAGATCAGTAAGTCTGCCTAAATAATTACTATTTTTGAATTCTTTTTAAAAATTTTATATATATATAAATTTATATAAAAAATATATCTTCACATGTACCCCAGAACCTAAAGTGCAATAAAATATATATTTATATATAAAATTTATATTAAAATATATGTAAATTAATATAGTCTATTGTAATAAAATGTAAATTAATATAGTATTTACATTACATACATTTGTAATACATACAAATATATATTTTTATATATAAAATTTATATTAAAATATATTTCATTGCACTTTAAGTTCTGGGGTACGTGTGAAGACCATGCTGGATTGTTGCATAGGTACATACGTGGTAATGTGGTTTGCTGCCTACATCCCCATCACCTGTATCTGGCCTTTCTCCCCATGCTATCCCTACCCAACTTCCTACCCCACACAGTCCCTCCCGTAGTCCCCTCACACAGAGTGTGTGATGCTCTCCTCCCTGTGTCCATATGTTCTCATTGTTCAATACCCACCTATGAGTGAGAACATGTGGTGTTTGTTTTTCTATTCTAGTGTCGGTTTGCTGAGAATAATGGTTTCCAGATTCATCTGTGTCCCTACAAAGGACATGAACTCGTCGTTTTTTATGGCTGCATAGTATTCCATGGTGTATATGTGCCACAATTTCCCTATCCAGTCTGTCATCAATGGGCATTTGGGTTGGTTCCAGGTCTTTGCTATTGTAAACAGGAACAGAAAATCAAAAACTGCGTGTTCTCACTCATAGATGGGTGTTGAACAATGAGACTACTTGGACACAAAGAGGGGAGCATAACACACTGGGGTCCTAGGGAGGGGCTATAGGAGGAATGGCAGGAAGGAGGGTGAGGGGGAATAACATGGGGAGAAATGTCAGGTATAGGTGATGGGGGGATGGTGGCAGCAAACCATTTTGCCATGAATTTGCATGATCTGCACATGTACCCCAGAATCTAAACTACAATAAAAAAAGTGGGAGGAAAAAAAGAGATATAATACTCTCAAATATATGTAAGGTAGTATATTCCATAAAATGCAATTTTATGGAATGTGTATAGGTATGTTGCAAAGAAGGGCTCAACTATGTCTGGGAAATCCAAGAGGGGCAGTTGGACAGGTGTCTTTGCTGGAGGACTTTTCAGAGCCTTTAACAGGCCAGCGTCTAGTGGGTCTCCAAAAGTGGGCTTTTTCATGTGGCATTTCCCAGAATTCCTTGGCTGCCTTCCAGGAAGACACATTACCACCTTACAGCTCTTCTGTGGCAGACAGTGTAGCATAGTTTGGAACATGGTAATGGGGGGGAGGTTTGTTTTTCCAGAAGGACTTAGACATTGCTATTCTCTTTTCCTAGCCAGTGTCTTCCACCTTCTCCTCTGCATGGCCCAATCCCCCCTTGGAGTCTTGATACATTGCCCAGGCGGGTCTTGAACTCCTGGGCTAAAGCTATCCTCCCACCTCGTTCTCCCTAAGAGCTGGGATTACAGGTGTGAGCCACAGCACCAGCCCCAATCCTCCCCACTCTTATAGCCCAGAGTAAGTCTTGCTCCCAGAAGCCAACTTGATTACTCTACTTCCTGTAACGTCTTCCTCTTATGTCTTCCTGTTGGATTTACATTTGGGACCAGAGACTTTGCATTTCGGTTGTCTTCTAATGATTTAGTACAGTTTCATCCTTCTCCCCATGCAGACTGCAAAGGGTCTGAACGTCAGGCTGTTTAATTTTTTTTTTTGTAAATTGACAATTTATAATTGTATAGATTTGTGGGTTCTGTAAACAGGGAGTTGCGTGGGGAAAAAATTTATGGGGTACAAAATGACGTTATGATTTATGAATACAATGTGAAATAATTAAATCCAAGCTGTTTAATTTATACAATTCTTTGGTGTTAATTGGGTGTGTAGTAGACACCCATATACTTGCAGATTCATAATTGGAATAATTTTATATACTTAGTCTCTCTTCATTTCTTTATCAGTGTAACCCCATTCCTACTGCTCAAGCCTATTACTTTATTTCTGGATATCTGTTCCTGGGCCTCCCTTTTAGATACCCCTCGTGATGCCTCCTTTTATCCTCTCTCTCTCTCTCTCTCTCTCTCTCTCTCTCTCTCTCTCTCTCTCTCTCCCCTACCCCACCCCTCAGGTCTCTGTCTTCGTCTGGTATTTATGGCTGCTGACCAAGTACCTAGTCTATTTATAATCTAAATTGTCAAGAGCTTCTCTTATCAGCAGGTTTTCACTGTACTTTTCAAAAACGTAGGCTTCAGAAGGTCCAGCTATTTAAATAGCCAGGTGCTTTATATTCAGGAATATTTGAGAAGTACTGAGTTGGAAGGGAGTAGAGTGAGAAATTCCGGTTGAGCCCATATCCCACTGTAGATTGGGAGCTGGACTCAAAAACAAAGGATATTGGAGTTTTTGAATATGAATGAATATCAAGTCAGAGATGCTAAATGGCTTTTAATGTTACATAGATATAAGAAATAACAATGAGTTTAGAACCCAATTTCCTTGCTCTAAATTAATATTTCTTCTAAAATATGCCTCCCCGGAAATAAAACAAGAGGAAATTGGCTAAAATTTCCTGAGGAGGCACTTATGAAATGTATAAAAACTTCATAATAAGAGTTATCAGGGGGTGGGGAGTTGGGGAGAGATAACATGGGGAGAAATGCCAGATATATGTGATGAGGAGGAAGGCAGCAAATCACACTGCCATGTGTGTACCTATGCAACAATCTTGCATGTTCTTCACATGTACCCCAAAACCTAAAATGCAATTAAGAAAAGAGTTATCATAATCAAATTAGAACAGGCTACCAAGGTAGACTTTAGTAATATCCTTCCTTTAGATGTTAATATTAGATTGGATGTTTATTAGAATGTTAGCTCGAGACAAGGAACTAGTTTCTAGAGAAACATTGTTTTTGTTTTCTATTGTGTTTTTCTTTTTGTAATTTAAGGAACTAAAATAGAGGAAAGATGAAATTTCTTTGAGAGAAACTATGTAAAATCTCGAGAGCAGTTGGATTTTTATTGGATTAGTGAGCCAATCCTTCTACTTATAGATGGTCATCTGCATCATACATTTCTGAGAGTATGGATAATCTGGGCCACCCTCCACATTACATCATCCTTCACTTGATCATATCACCATCCCTTTTGCCATATAAGATAACATCCACAGGAGATTAGGATGTGTACCTCCTTGGAGGCTACTTTTTTCAGCTTAACACAGATGTCCTTAAAGATGAAGAAGCAGTCAGTTAGAGAATTTTATTGCTCACACATACTTAAATGAAAGTGTTGGCTCTCTTTTAGTATTGAATCAATTTACCAGGAAGAACTATTTGGAATCTTTTAATAATAATCTTGGAAATAATAGAAAACTTTTAGGCTTTTATTCTTTTTAAAAAAACTTTTATTTATTATACTTTAAGTTCTGGGGTACCTATGCAGATTGTGCAGGTTTGTTACATAGGTATATATGTGCCATGGTGGTGGTTTGCTGCATCCGTCACTCTGTCATCTACCTTAGGTATTTCTCTCTTTAGGAAATAAAGGTATTTGTTTAAGGAGGTGTTTACATCTCTGATACATCATTGGTATGCAATGTTGACTTTTCTGTATTCAATTTCAGTTTTATTTCCCAGGAGAAAGGTGTGTTAGAAAAAGAGAATTTTTACTGTATGGCATCTGTTGAAAAGTGTATTTCCCTTAGGTGGCTATCCATTAGTAATCATTCCCACTTTTGATGTGCCGTTGTTGTTAGTTTGCTTCAGAGCTGGCCTTTGCATCCATTGAACTTAACATTTAATATTACTTCAGCACAACTTAAAAAAATTACAGTGAAAGAAAAATTAGAGAACTTTTGCTTCAGTAAAATTTGTTGAATACTTGTGGAATAGGCACTGGGTTAAATGTTGATGTAAGGATAAAACATATGAATTCTAAAGAAGATAAGATACATGGGCAGACAATATGGTATCCGTGGAGATGGAAGGATGCTCCATCTGTGGTTTTACAGGAGGAGGGCCCACTTGAATGCCCACAGGTTTACCCCGGGGCCTCTGTGGGAGAAACGCTTGAGCGGTGTCTTCAAGTATAAGTGAGAGTTAGGTAGGCAGGAACTGGGAAACTGGTTATGGAGAAGGAACAATGGCCCCAGGAAATAAAACAAAAGGAAATTGGCTAAGATTCCCTAAGGGGTATTGATAAAATATGTAAAAATATGAATGAGTGTGTGTGCATGAGAGTGAGTGTGTGAGTGTGTGTTTGGTGCAGGTACTTCTGTTAACAGTTGGGATTTCTCTGCTAGCAAATAAGAATATTGCATAAATGTTCATCTTCCTCAGGATCTCTCATCAAAAAGTTAAAGCATAACTTCAATTATCAGCATAAAAGAGGTTTTTAATACCTATTTTTAGATTGCATTTCAGCCTGGGAGAGCAAGACTCCTGTTCTCTCTCCCCCTTTTCTGTTTCTCTTTCTTTCTAAAAAAAAAAAAAATCATACCACATTCATTATGTTACAGATTGTCTATGCTTCCTCTTTCTACTGCATAAAATTTTTTCCTGCTATACCCTCATGTATTTTTTATTGAGATGCTATATTAAGTAACCTCAGTAATACATTCTACTTGCTATATTTATACACACTATGTATATACAGTTGTCATTGTATATAATGCTTAAATTAACTTAGAAATAATTTCTAACTTTAAATATTAGATTATTTTAGGACAAAACATGTCTTGCATCTCAATCTGATGCCATCTTCCCTGCATTGCTTACTAGATTTTTATGAGTTGGTAATATGTATGTAACCTACCATTTCTTTGTAGCTTTAATTTTAGAGTGCTCTTTTTTCAGTTAAGTAATTTAATATTTTTGAAAGGTTAAATAAATAAGTTAATTTGATTCCAGCAAAGTTGGAGAAT